CTACCGCTTATAGGGTCAAACAATTTCTGTTTTCGGTTTTCGGTTTTTTTTGTTTCGGCTGCTGTCCAAAAATCAGTAGTCGCGAAGCAGGAACTGAACTGAACTCTTTAGATTATCGTGCACACACTTTCGTACAGGTACGGGTACCCAGTAGCCAGAGATCTGGAGATCGGCTGTGACTAGGCAAAAGTAATGGGGAAGTGGACATTCAAATTTATGGCATTAAAATGGTTGTATGACTATAATGCCAAGGCAATGAAAATACCACTGAGATACTTTCCTAGTTGAAGTCGTGCAGTGATCTTTACAATCCTTCATGTAAGCCAAGGCGATACAAAAATATCTGCGTTAATTTTGGTAAATATCTTGCTATGAAGTTCAACATTCTCTGTCTTAAAAGACACAAATAAAATTTCTATGCCAAACTGAGATGAAATCTTAAGATAAGGGCAAAATGAAACATCAATTAAAGTCACGAGAGCAAAGAAAGTATCGTTGCAATCACAGAAATAATTAAACGTTAAATGAGCAGGTAGAAACAGAAAGAAACTGAAACTTACAGCGGTTTACAAACAAACGACAACTTTTAATTAAAGAAAGTGAAATTGAAAGCAATTTTTTAAAGTTAAAATAAGGCATTGAATTCAAGCGAAAATATATTTCAAATATAAATAATAATATAATATAAATATATTTATATTTGTTATATATACTTTGATACAAACTTGTAATCTATACTTGTGCAAAGTTATTTCTTTAAATAAAAGAAAGATTTTAAAGAACATTCTATATACTGGATGACCTAACAAATTATATTTCTTTTAATAAAATAAAATATTCAAACACTTACCTTTTCTATTAAAGTATTGTTATAATTTAACTTTCAATTGCGGACTCCAATCTGCTTATGACTTTGCCTTGTAATTAGAGCTGCTTAAATATGCGACTCTGCAAACAAAGGCACGCAACAAATTCTCTTGAGCCTCTTAGTCACACAATCTTTGTTTGGTGCCCCAAGTTGCACTTACTTGTCAAAGGTCGCGGCAAGCGAAAGTGACTTTGTGCGTCCCCAGTTTTCAGGTTTTCTTCTTTTTTATGGCCTTTTTTTTTGCAGTTGGCCAAACCCGTTTCCTGCGGTTGCGGCATGCCACAAACCGGCAGAAATCCGAAATCAGCTGCACCGGGAGAAAGAAAGGGGAAAACTGACCTACATCCTCCATCGGAGGCAACTCCCAGTTCCAGGTTGCGCAATCCACGCGAGTGGATATAAAAAAGCACTCAGAGCTAACCTTCGCACTGGAGTTTCAGAGGGAGAGCCAATGACATGGGGTACAAAATAGCGCACAATCATTTCGTTAAATGATTTAATTAAGCTAAACAGTTGAACAACATTTTTGTCCAAGCCCCGAAAACCCATTCCATCAGCCATTCGCTTTGATTCGGCACTCGAGGCGTTTCAAGTGTGTGACACATTGGCGTCAAGTTCATAATTCACAATTTATATTAATCCGATTCCGGACAAAAGGCGACCAAGTGGCGCTGATCGGGCGACATTGATTGCGATGATCTGGAGCCGAGGGACTTATGGCCGTAAAAGAACTCCACGGTCGATTCAATCGCAGATCTTGGTCCAATCGATTCTGCAGAACTGGTCTATTCCATGACTTCCATTGCCGTGTGTTTCCGTTTTGTTTCTCAAGTTTTTTGTTTGTTTTGGTCCGAAGAATAAAGGAATTTTTTGCCAATTGAATGATTATGCCAAGCTGGGCTTGAATGGCCAGTGAATGAGTCAACAATTGCTGGGGCGTGTATTTTCTAAAGACCAGGGGGATACCCCTTTTCCACATATCCCCCAACAATTGCTCTTTTATTCCTCCCTTTTGATAATTTGGAAATATTATTGCTTGCTTTTCGACGACAAAGAGATTTTACTTTGAAAGCAATTTTATTTAGAACAGAATTTGTATGTCAAGATAACAAAACACGATTTGAGGTTTGTAAGCTTTCATGGCTCGTTTAAATATGATATTTCCGCATTTAAATGAATATTATTGTCATGTGAGCTTCAATTGTTTTGTACCATATTTGTGTACCCTAATTCCTTTCTTTTTTGATGGCTTATCAATTGCTTATCAGTTTTCGATACAAATTTATTTTTTTAAATTTAATAAAATAGTTAACTGTCCCTGCATTTAAACAATGCCAACTTTAAGGGATATTTTTGCAATGTTTTATCCAAATAGCTTAAAAACTGAGGAACTAGTTTTCTTCTTTCATAAACCACAGTCATACATTTTTTTGCTGTTTTAATTTAATCTCCAATATTTTTTAAATTCAATACTAAGTTGTATACAAATTTGTTTTAATAATCTATTTGTTTTAATAATCTATGCTTTTACCGAAATAATAATTAATTAGAAATACGAATACAAAACATTCAAACACTGTCTTTGTTATGACACCCAAACACCAGTGATTATTTTGCCCTGCAGTCAAACATCTTGTTTGTTTGCATTTTTCGGTTGGCTCTTCCCCATGACTTTGTATTCCGAATCTTCGTTTGCCACTAGTTGGACTTGAACTTTGTGCGTGTGTTTTGGTTTTCTCATCGTTTTGTTTTCGACTTCGAGCCGCTTGTTTGTCAAGGCTCTGGCTTAGCCCAGTAAATAATAACTAATAACGAGTGTGACTACAGTGAAGCCCAAGCGGGTATGTCGCGGCACCCCCTTATGGAGCGAAAATTAAAAATATGTTGACCCCAAGGCGTTTTATTTGGGGCTAGCGAATTGGCAACGCTCAATTGGAGGCCCATACAATTTTTAATTACCCAAAGGTGCGGCCATTTGAACTTGACTTTAATTGGCTCTCAATAAAATAATAACGATAACAGCACCTGTGGGTTCTCTCCCTTTTTTTTCGGCTGTCTTTCACTTCGGTCTTTCACTTTTCATTAACGCGACCAATTGATTTTGGGCGGTGTGGCATGTTATGTAACCCCGGCATGCCAACATTTCCGATGCCAGAGTTGTCTCAGGGTAATTGAATATGGATAACCAAAGTGTAACAAGTGCAAATGCTCGCGGGCTGCATATTAAGATGTATGAAATGAACAATAACGGGGGAAAACTACTTCGCAGGCATTAACAGCAAATGCATAACGACAGCAACGCCCCCACTTTGCAGTTTCATCAGCTTTTATGATGCCATCCGCGTGACTTGAACTCGGATTCCTCCTGGAAATGCTCATAATTTGATAATGGCATCAATTAAACTTGATTGCTGGCCGAATCTCTATGCTGGCTCCCATTGTTGTTGGCCGTAATTAGCACCCAAGCGAAATGTTTATACGGCAGTAGTCAAAACTTCTTATTGCTCGGTTGTACAAACGGTGTCATTAGTTGAAGATGAATTATGCGAACCGGAATGTGTTTCTTTTTTTTACTTCTGACACGAAATGAAGTCATATTTGCTTAGACAAATTAAATGGCAAGCTGTTGTGCGCTTCTTATCGATAAACAAACGCAAGAAGAAGCAGCTCGCAGTCGAATCAAAACAAAAGACTTAGGCAACGAACTTCGCTTTGCGTCGACTTGAATTCATAATTTTACGCGCTGCGGATTTCTAGACAGCATTCCCATCATTGTTGCTGGGGCCGTCCATCATCATCAGCAGCTTCACGATCTTCATTTGGTGTATTCACTTGCAGGGTATATTTTGAACATGTTTTAACGCAATAAACACGGAATTAGTGGTCATATAAAGTTTTTAAACTGTCTTTTGTTTATTATAGGTTAGAGCCATTTCATAAACTGCTTGCTTGATTTATTCAAATTAGTTCTTTGTGTTATAAAACTGTTATAGAATGGGTTAAGAATTTAAAAATTAGTATTTTTATAATACTTTAAAACCCAATTAATTTGTACAAATACATTAAATTAATAGTTGTAAATACTTTTTTTTATTAGTTAATTGCTAAGTATTTCGAGAATAATAAAAATATTGAAGACTTTTGTATTTAATTATCGGATCATTTGATAATGTTAGCAATTCATAAACTTCTAAACAGTCTGCATTTTTAACTGAGCTATATATTAACTTTAATGTGTTCAAATAATAAATTTCAACTATATGGTAAATTATATTATATTCACTTGCTAAAATAGCTATATAAAATGAAATTTAATGAGATATTCAAAATTTCAGATATAAATCTATTCGCTTACCATAAATAATAAAATTCAAAGGGTATTTTGAACTTCTCCTATCAAAAAAGAATTCGTTCTTGCATTTTACAAGCCTAGTTGAATTTATTTTAATTTCATTTCAATTTGTGATGGAACTGGTGCATTTGCCTCGTGTCACTTTTGGTTGCGCCTTATGATTTTGCAATTTAATTTCTGCCCGCGAAACGGGTTAAGAAAAAGACTCGACCGACTCAGACAAGTTCTTGGCTCATGCACTTGTTGCAGCTCTGTTATTTATAAAATGCAGATTTTTAATTGCCTGTCACATAAATTCCAGGTATCTGCGGGCCTAGGATAGCCGCAGGTAGTTTGACATTTTGATTGACCTTCAAAAAGCCATAAGAATAAACAGCGCATCGCCCATAAAAAACGAATATAAAATCCAGAACCGTTAGGCCGGCCAAAAAATGTCGGCTAAAAAGCTTTTAAGTAACAAATTAATTATTGGAGATAAATAAAACCAAGAGATATATGCTGGTGATGTAATTAAGGCGTAGAAAGCGTTGAGATAAGATTGATGACCACCAAATATAGCTGGGAATTTAAGAAAAATGCAGCTATAAAGAGTCCGATTAAAAGACCTCAAAAAGAGAGTATGCTCTTTGGTTGACTTAAAGAAACTCTTACCAAAAAGCTCTGGCCAAGCTTTGGACACGCTAAATGCTATTAAGCCAACTTAGCCATGAAGCGACAAGGCGACGAGGTAAGAAAAAAAACAGGTAAAAGAAATACCGAAGCGAGCGGCAACGTAACCGAACTTACGGTACGAAAAGGTAAGGTAAGGCCGCCAGGTAAGCTCGACTCTGCCGCCGCGAAAGCCCAGCTCTGCCTTCAATTCTTCAGTCGAGTCGCGAAAGTCGTCGAGTGCGTTTGGTTCGCTGGCTCGTCGGCACTCCAGCTTAAAATCAAAAAACAGAAAATCCAAGCTACTAAAATTTATCAAAAAAAAAAAAGAAACAATAACAAAACAAACTGAGAAAGAGAAAGAAGCTGAACAAACAAACAGAGATCATCATCATCGTCATCACGAAATTTTGTGCGCGCAGTCTTCGCCGTTATGCAATTAAAGTGCGTTCATAAAATGCCGAGATAGCAACAATTTCGTTTTGAATTAATTTTTGGGGAATTAGAAATTTTTTCGCGCGAGTTTAAAAGACGCATTAATACCGACCGATGTCCAAATTTAATGCCAAATTAAATATTAAAATTTATGGCAAACTCGTTTACTCCCCAGACCCAGCAACCAAAAAGTGAAATTAATAAAGTGAAAAGCACGCAGCAATTGTAGCCGAGGCAATTACAAAATCAATATAAATAATAATAGAAAAACCATTGTTGCAGCATTAAAAGTACGTAAAGAAATAACAACAGTTAGGGGCAAACACTTTTCCTCGTCGTCGCTCTGCGAATACGTAATCATTGGGAAAATATCAGCAATTTTGCAACAGTTTCGACACAACAACAACAACAACAGCAGCAACACCAGCGACTGCAGCAAAAACAAAAGTAATTGAGCAGAAAGGTGAGTTGCGGAGCCCAAGAGACACGCATGCAAAGCAGGGAAAAGGCAGGAAAAAAGCAAGGAAAATTAAGAGAAACCCTAGCCCTAGCACCTGTTGCCTTCCTGGAAAAAAAACAAAACGAGAAAGAAAAGAAACCCCAGCTTCCATTCATAATCGCACCCCTTTTTTCTCTAACTGTTTTGGCTTTGCGCTGGACTTCCTGCTTACGCGCTTTTTGTTTGTTGTTTGTTTGCTGTTTGGCCTGTTGCTTTTGCTACACTTCAGTTTCATTTTCATTTAAATGCGAACAGAAAACGCAGCTTTAACTACAAGCCGCTCTCAAGGTTGACAACATCGCTCGTTGTCGCTCTGCTTTTTGGTTTCTTTCTCGGATTGCGTATTCACATTTGAATATTATACAATTTTGGTCAGTTTCGGTTTCGTAAATAGTTCCTTTTTTGCCATCAATTCGAACGATTAGTGCCGAATTAGCAGCACAATGTCAAGTTAATTTGAGTTCAGCAACACTTTCAGCCTCTCAATCTTCATTTTTCAGATGATTTTTTACTGATATATGCATAAACACTGAGAGAATTCTAGTTCAGGAACACTAAATCGTTAACCAATTTATAGCCTGAAATTGGCAATACACAAAACAATTTTTGTTGACCTTTAAAATATTTATTAACATTTTTTATGTCACTTATAACAAGTACATTTCAATAAATTTCTGTCTGTCATAAACTTAATAAATCAGTACTGTCAACAGTTATTTTTAATTCCAAAATATTTGGTAATAAATAAGGCTACAATTTATTTTAAAATAATTAGCTTGTTTCTACTCAGTTTTAAAAGGCTTGAAATTTATTTTTAAATAATTAGCTTGTTTCTACTCAGTTTTAAATGACTTAAATCACTTTCAAGTTTAAGTTTCCTAGTTTATTTTGATTTAAAAAGCGATTTTTCCCAGTTCACATGTGGCCCTGGCTGAGACAGATGGATGAGTTTCAGTCTGCCAACACGCCTTCGAAAACAAATGCATTTAATAACGAAACGAGGCGGCCCGAAAAAAGCTGAAATTAAAATGTGCAGTAGGTGTTGCCATTCCGATTCCGATTGCGATTGTTGTTGCGACAATTGCCCCGACACTTGCCCATATATAAATAGTATATATATCCGAAAGAAGTGGCTGATGAAGAGCGCAAGAGGCAAAGGAAGGAAGTCGATGTCGGCATGAGTTTGCAGTTTCATTGGGCTTCGGTTACAGCCTCGGCTCCACCATCGAATCCAACTTCTCAGCCCATCATCTTTGCCGTGGTTTGTGGGAGTCAATTAGTGGGTAAAATTTAAATACAACAACGGGGGAGGAGGGGGGGCTGCCATGGCACCCAATTATGCATCCATAAATGTAAACAATCGTCGAAAAGACCCTGTAAAGTGCGGTTCTTCTTCTCCATCTGAAGCCATCGAGAAGTGCTGAAATCCGTCTGGGCAAAAGTTCAGCAGAACCTGCAGACAATAACGTGGCCGAAAGAGCTAATGGGAAATGTCAGTCAGTCGGCAGACAACGTTGACTTCATTTACATTTAACCAAAACAACAAATGAGTCTGCACTAAGCCTCGAGAAAAAAAAGGTCGCGCAATAAATTCGTTTTGTAACTCTCTACCTTTTTGGCTGAAAACTATTTTCGATTTGGCCAAATTCCTGGAGAATTTGCATTTGACCGCATAACCGTTCTTTCACTCTCTTTGTGCTTCTGGCCATTTCTTTTCACGCTGCGCGCATATTTCATGAGCTGTCGATGGATTGTGTCTATTTAGGTTTATTGGAAGCCATTCCCCCGCCAAATGGGCACCGTTCATTAGCGGAAAATGGGTTAATCTCATTCAGTGGACTCCCATACAGCTGTGGTCACAATAATGGCACTGAGAACTGGAGATATTTGTTATTTTATTAAGTGGCTAGCGTTGTAGGTATTCTACTATTATTTAACAAATGATAAGTGGCAAAGTAACACTTAATCCGGGTAATGAACTTTATAACTCCTTTGTTGCTTTTAATATTTATTTAAAAATTATTTTTACTTATCTATTTATTTGAGACATCGTGTAAAAATTTTCAAAATATTTATTTTATTATTAAAGTACAAGGTATTTGTATTATCACAAATCCATCTTGAGTTTCATTAGCCAGACCTCAGTTGTATATTCTTTATAGAGAGTCCACACCTTCAAAGACACCCAAAATAATAAATTTTTTTGGGTGCGTGCATTCATAGATTTGGAAGCTAATTAAAGCGTTGTTGTGGCGCCATCGAAACATCAAAGTGTGAAAGAGACATTAAGGCTGATAGTGAGGCACGTGTTGTTGGTTGTCGGCGATTAGCCAGATTTAAAGATACAAGCGGATAGATATATATGGTAGATGCTGGGAGATGGCCTTTAACGCCTCGCCGCCAGACAAAGGCATCTTTATTAAAACATTATTTCGCCTGCTATTGTTGGGACGGCGTATAAATTGCATTTTAAATACACTTTTTCTGTTTCTGTTGTGGGCAGAGCTACCAATAGCTGACTCAATCAAACGAACAAAGCGGTCCATTCCAACACAAATATTATGATCTTTCTGATTGTTACACGCCAACTTCCGCTACCCGGCTTCATAATCATAATCATCATCATCATCATTATCATTATGATCCGCAGCTATACGAACTGAGAAAGTGAAAACTTGGACGATTTTTTGATTGCAAGCATTTGATAAGCACTAAACGAAGAAAAGAGTGAGAGAAATTTTGTCATCTATTGAGCCAACTAATGATGGTCAACGTAACACAAGTGCACAGAGCAAAAATTTTGATTTTAGAAAAATATATATCACAAATTTCGTATAGAAGTTTTAAAGATTTTAAAACGTATTTAAATTTTACCACTTGACTAATATTCTTTTTTATCATTTTATTTCCTAATAATAATGTTAACTTAATATGTTAACATATACCACAATCGTTATGGAAATTAGCTGTGTTTTTTGGCGAATTTCCGGTTTGAAATCTGAGGTTTAAGGTACTTTTTCTGGGTGTATAAACTATCTGCCTCTCTCTGAATATATCTTTCTTTTTGCCGACTGCTAAAAGAAAAAGTTTCGGTTTCAGTTTCGTTTACAGTTTTGGTTTCGGTTTCAAACTCAGTCGGTTGTGGAAAATTTAGTGCAACGGCGCTGTCATAGCTTCGCTTCAAATTGCTTCGTTTACCCAGCTCCCCAGACTATCCCCGTCTCTTTCGCTTGGACTCCAGCCCTCTCTTTCGCTCCTCCTGGGAGCGTTTTGGAGTAGTTGAAGCGTGCAGGCGAAAACGAAAGCAGAAGTTGCAGTCGCCTGGCGTCTTCTTTTTTTTCTCTCGCTTTTCATTTGCTGAAATTCGTGTTTTTATTTTGTGTTTCTGCTTTTCACTCTAGTTGAAGTTGTAGCCTGTTTTTTGTTTTGCTCTTTTTGGCCAACAAATTGTTGCACGGACCTCGCTTTTGGTCAGGGCAACTTGGAACGTAACGCAGAAATGCGGAAAAAATTCACTTCAATTCATTTAATGAAAGTGTCAACTTGTTTTCCACGGGGCTTTTCGTTAATCAAAGGAAAACAAATCTGTGAGATTGAAAATCACTTTGTTGCAAAAACAGCGGAAAATTCAACTTTTTACTCGTTTCATATTGAAACGTTTTCCATTTTAGTGACTGGTTTATAGTTATGATATTTTAGATTATTTATGGAGTTATAAATAATCAAAACCAAACAAATTTGTTAGGCTGAAATTTAAACAACACGGAAAAACTATTTTCTTTGAAATACATTTGTTGGTTTTTCAATAAATAAAAGAAAAACCTATAGGCACTACAAATATTTTACCACATTATCAACGTTTTAAATAGTTTCAGCTTATAACAACATTTATTGCACATTTCCTAAAGTTTCATACTCTTATTTCGTTTAATAGTTTTTTTCTGCATATATAAGTTGGTATATTTATAGACTGCCTTTTATTTTACATAGTCTTTGCTTTAGATTGATGTTTTATTACTTATTGAGTACCCCTTTTGCTCTTCCATTTTCTATTTTTCTATGGTAGTTCGAATCATTTGATTTAATGCCCCAAGAGGTTTTTTAAAGGTGTCAAGCAATTTATAAATTTGAATTTTGAAAGTGCTGCATCGGCGGTCGCTGCATTAGCAACGAAAATCAATCAAAAACACAGCTTAGAGACATTCGAAGATCTCCAAAAGTTGAAATGTTAATTTCTGGGGCTTTTCGTCTCCATCCATCCATCCATCTATCCATCCGCTAGTTCGTTCGTTTGTCTTGTGAGATTGCGCAAAGCGCTGACAGTTACATGACTTTGAAAAGTATCTTATAGATGCGCACACAAATATTCATTTATACAGATATGATTTAACATATTTTGGGGCTTAATAATTGCTGGAATGGTGAGCTCAACGCCAGATGTGCGTGATGGGAAATACGAGTGTTATTTTGCGAAATCGAAATGCACAACCTGTCGGTATCGGTTGGTATTTTTATTTATTTTTTCTTTATTTTTTACCACTTACTGTTACTGTTACCGTTGATGAGGCCATGATGCGCCGCTGATGCGCTCAGGTGTTAAATGCCTGGCAGCCGGCAAGTTCCGCAATACGATTCGATGTTAAATGCTTCGGATTTCGCATTATTAGCTTCCCGATGTGAGCAATTTTGCATAATTTGCACCGCGCACTGCCGCGCATAATGAAAACCTTAACCCCAAACGAGGAACTGAACCATGGCGACTGCGAATGAGAGCTCACATCCCCCGACTACACGCCACTTTCACGCTATGCAAATTGAAGCATTTGCAGACAATGCCGACCGCAGACAAGTGTTAAGAAAATATGATCGGCAATGGCAACGGCAAACGCTCCCTCTCACCCACACTAATTTCATAATTTAATTTCAAGGGTTCAAGTTTTGGTGGGTGGCGAAGGGAAAGTCACAGGAACTCAAAGTAAGGAAGGGAAGTTTCATATAAGTATCTCATAATCTTTGTATTTCTATGCCGCAAATGATATTAAAACCTAGATTAGATAAGCAACAAGAAATTTATAAAAATATTTAAATAAATTAAAAAGTCTTTAGACAAATTAAAATAATTTCGCATTCACAACAAAAACGAAATAAAAAATATTTATCTGTGGATAAGAAAAATTTTGAAATCACCAAATTAATAATAAATAAATAAACAAATCTCAAATTTGTATTTTAAACTGACAGAAACCTATACAAAAAACCCACACTTTTATTAAGCAACATTTTTGCGGTTCAGGGTAAAAAAATGTGTTTACTACCTCAATATTCACACCTTTCAATTAGATACCTAGTAAAATCTTAAGTGTTAGACCATAAAGCTGATGCCTTCCAACAAATCGATAATTTATCTATCGACTTGCAGACATTTTCAATACAGAATTAAACGGATTACGAGACCATGTTGAGATCTTCTCAGCACGCCTATTATTTCAACAACACTATCTTTCTTTTCTCTCCTTTCCACAAGTCAATGACTGCTTAATTTAATTTGGCCACAAATCAATGGCCACATGTATCTTTTCCCCGTGCCTATTTTGTTTTATTTTCGGGAACATTTCGCTTGACCCCTGTGAAAGCAATTTCGTTTTGGGCTATTCTGATCTTTTCGGCCAATCAATCATGTGGCTATCCAGCATTCTTGGCTAGCATATCTTCTTCGCGGCTGCGAAAGTATCGAATGTTTCTCCGACATCCCATTTTTCGACGCTTCATTAGGTCCCACAAAACTTTCATGTGGTCTCTGGTTACATAATGAATCCATTAGGGGTGCCAAAAATACTTTCTAGCTGAGATACGCGGGCAAAAAACAAATAATAACGAACTCATCACGTCTGACCTTAGCATTTGGCTGGCCAGCAGAGTTTGGCAAATGAATTTGCAAAATTTATGCCTCCCATTAGCTGGATGGTGTTTATATTCAGCTGATTTTCAGCTAACAAGACACGTCCAATCTTTGCCATCTCGTGACGCACTCGAACAATGCAATCATCTCGTCAGGTAAACGAACTGCAGGCTATTTGCACTCCGGAGACGTCTGGGGCACAGTGAAGCACGGCTGCTAACGACCTCTTGACTAGGCACAGTGATACCCCCTCTCCGCTCTCCGCTCCCCGCTCCCCGCTCCACTGCACTCCAGGTGCAATTGCATTAGAATCATTTACATTCACCGATTCGTATTAATATGCAACTAGCGTTGTCAGCGCGATTGTCATCATCAAAATTCTTTATTGATTGCCTAGAGTCGTGTCGCGTCGCTCTTTCCACTCGTAAAACTACAATAATTCATGACGTTGACTTTCATTCATAAAGTGCGCGATTGTCGGTAGTCGTCTGGTAGTTGAATATGCAGCGAATGTTGTCATTAAATTATGCATAGTTTCAGTCGATCCCTGGGCGGAGGAAAGTTCTGTAGAAAGTTGAGACAAACGAGTTTTCCGCTTGTCAATCATAAACTTTGAAGCTCATCGTTAATGTATGGTGTAGGAAATTCAGATTAGAAATTCTCACATAAAGAAAAATATGAAAGCATGGTTACGAAAATATTTAAGAAGAAAGTTTAATTGGAATTATTTTTACTACCCAAAATTATAATTGTATTTAAATATGGCATTTAATAGGAAGAAAAAGCATTCGAATTAGCTCTCATAAAATGAATAAATACACATATATTTTTTAAATTTTATCTATAAATGTTAAATTCTCTTTACTTTTGTATCTTATTTAAAACTTCTACAAAACGTCTGTTACTTTTCCATAATCCAAAGCATTCCCTTATCAACCGCACATACACCTATTTTTAACCTACATGAGAAACACAATATATACCCACCATCTATGAGAAACAACGACTTAAGTCATATGTCGTCATCTTTTAGAATAATACCGTGTGGGCAGCGTCAATGTCAGCTGTTAAAACCAAAAAACATAAAAAAGAAGCCACCTTTGTTGTGGGAATTTAAAATACTAATAGAGCCAAGAAATGACAGCAGCATAATGAATAAACTCTTTAATAAGTAAACAAACCTATTTGTAATTTTCGACACATTTTCCCAAATCAATATTTGCACCAAAATTATTGTATATTTTGCTTTCGATTCCAATTCGCCGGGCAGAGTTATTGAACCCACCGGAAAATGTCTGCTTATAATTTAATATCATTTCGTTGGACAATTGAGAAAGTTCAACGAATTTGAAATTCAAATCCGAGTTCGATTGGTGCGGTTTGAACTTGGATGATGATACGCCAGATTGCAGTGAATTAAGAAATAATCGTCAATTGGCATTATTTAAATGATTTCAAATAGCTGTTGCTGTGTTTGATTTTTTTTTGTTAAGCCTTAGCTGATGTTTTTGTGAAAGTTGCTGCACATTTTAGCGTGTGCAAAGGAAAAATTTATTATTTTCGAGCGAAAAGTGAATGCTGATGGCTGAAAAATTGCCAGCCAAATGGACGCACACATTTTCCCAATTCCTGAGCTTCAAGATTCGTAACTGTAAAAGATCAGGGAAATTATCATGCAGCCAAATCAGCAAAGTCAACACGCACACAGAAAAGAAAAAGGTAAAAAACAGAAATGCAAGGCTCTGATGACTTTATTTTATGGCATCAAGTGGCATCCACAGTTGTTCTGTTTACAAAAGTCCAGTAACGAAAACAGGCTATCCGCTAAAAAGGCTGTGAGTGTGCAGGATACTCGAGCACCACTTGGCCACCACTCGACTTCACCCTACTCCACTCCGCCAACTGCATCTTGTGGGCCGTTAATTGTCCGCCTTATAAGTATGAGGTATAAAGAAAAAGAAACTTTCTGAAATGTCAGCGTTATTCGGCCAGAATTGTTCCGAGAACACAGCCAGATGCCGTTTAAGTGTTTTAATTTGACGTGCCCCACAAAGAATGCTGCGAAATTAAAGCTGCTTTTTGCCGGCTACCTTTTTTTCTCTTGAATAATTGGATAAAAGCATTTTTGTGTAATGATTTAGCAATTTATACAAAAATATATTACACGGTTTTGAATATTTTATAGGAAAATGTTGAGTGGCATAGTTTTTACCATAGATTGATAATTATATTAAGTTTTATTTGGTTCTATCTCTAGATTAATGTTCTGATCTTAAATAGAATAACAAAATTTTATTTGTCTTAAACTGGGTTAAAATATTGAATTGATAAATACATTTAAAGAAACATTGTTGCGCCATGTATTAATTAATTTCTAGTGTTTTCTTTCCTTTTCTATTTCTAATATTTAAACACTTCTTGCCATACAAATTCTGCAATATATATTTTTTATTTCAAAATTCTTTAACGGTCTTTCATTTGCCAGCTGACACTGTGTTTTTCCTCCATTTTATCCTTTATTAAGTGGCACCAAAACCAAATCGTAGACAAGCATATCCGTGAGGCTAATCCAGTAAATCTCCTCGCCCATAAATGACACTCAGAATGCAATTCACGTAATTACTCGAGACGAGAGCCAAACTAGAACACGTCTGTTTTGTACGTGCTGAGCCTGAGGAACTTTTGTGCGACTTTACTATATGGTACATATGTTCTATATACTCGTACACCGATTTCTGATTTCTGGGCTCGTTTTTGTGTCGCAGACACAGTGGCCCTTTGTTGGTCATAAATAACAATACTTTGGGGCCGAGTGTGTGCACAAAAGAAAATGCAGCTCAATAAAGCTGCAACAAATGGCACTGAGACACCAGCGAGACTTGTACAATTTAACGGCTTTTGTTGCATAAATCGGGCTGCAACAGCGGCAAGATTTGTTATGCGATTGCAATCTATACATAGTCGGCAAAAAATGGCGTCGATCGTTGACAATATGTAGAGGTATAGTAGAGGTAGATGCGGAGGCAGAGTCGAGATTGTGCAAAAGGCGATGAATATTTATGGGCAGCCCTTGCAGCATCCGAACTGTCGGTTCGGCAAAAGCCGTCGATCACTCGATCATACAGTTTCTGCAAAAAGAAAGCCAACAAAAACAAAGCACACACATCACAATTATAGACACTAATAACAAAGACAGCTAAATATATGACAACAGGTTAGCGAACCTCGCCGATTTGCATGCCCCTTCGGAAGGCAGAGAGAGATGGGGAGTGTCTTGTAGAAAGAGAGGGCACTTTCTTGCCGCTACACGCTTCGCAAATCCCCGGAGCCCCAAGCCCCCATAGATGTTTATTATGCAATGAACGTTTTTTCATCAACTTGACAATCTGAGCCGTGAAAAAACAAAAGACTTCAATCGAAATACTCTAACAGCTGAGGGTTAATAACTTCAAATGTTGTTTATTGTTTATTCAGAAACCTTATTGACGTTTTTATTTGCTTACTACTACATTTTTGTATATTTGCCTAAGATTTTTTATAGACTTTCTTAAAATAAACTATTAAATTCAACTTGATTAAATAAAATTGGAGCCCCCTAAAGACATTAAATATTCTTTAAATTTAGTAAAAATTTGCTGTGGTTTTTTTGGAATTTAAATAAATTTTGTATAAAGTTTCATTTGATTTTCTAATAATTTTTTCAATAATATCGGTTATTTACTTTACTTTGTGAATATCGATTTTTTCGTTGGTAAACATATAATGCAATGCAAACATAAAATACCAATTATTTCACAAAGTATAAACTTTGGAAGTGTAAATCCTATTTCAACAAGGACCGAGTATTTTCCCTTAAGCTTACAGGTGATTTTTTCTTTATTTAATTTTATTGTGGCTCTTGTCAACGTGCCTTGGATGGTATCTCACCTGCTCCGTCTGATTCACAACCCGAATCGCAGTTGGGATCTTAATTCCGAATCTGCGATGCGTAGCTCGCACAACATGATCGTCATAACAAGCTATTTCAATATAAATTGCATGTTTTACACATAAATTCTTGGTCTTGAAAGAAACATTAATATGGGCACATAGAAACCGAGAGCAGAAAGACGAAAAAATACAGGAAGGCAAATTGCAATGGTATTTTGGGTATTTCAGAACCTCTCTGCATGCGGGATGACTTGTAAAAAGGGAGTCCAGGTCATAAACAATAAGTATATCCCAGTTCCAGGTGCGTTGAACTCAACCCGAGGGATGCCAAAATTCTGTTTGCTAAGCTTTGCTTTTTTTGTTGGGTTTTTTGTTTGTGGGGCCTGTCAGCGTAAAATGAGGAAATTTGATGTGTTTGCTGTTTTATGTACCGTTATGCGGCGGCCTTCCTTATGATCTCCCCGCCCATATTATGTATTTGGTTTATGACGCCAATATTCACACAACCCTTTACGACTTGATCTCACTCTTTGCAGAGGACAGAGACCCCAGAAATCACACAAAATGGTGTCGCGTCGAAAAATTCTATCACGTTCACGCGACGATCTTAATCTCGACCAGACATTTACCCAACAGGAGGAGGAGGAGGATATCTGGTACCAGAAGGATAAACTATACAAGGTAAGTCATCGTTTTAAGAAATTCTGTTTCAATCAGGGAGCTGTCAAAATCAGTAAAGGTTTATAGGTCAGTTTTGCAAAGGAAAGCGGTGAACTTAAAATTTTTAAGAAATAAACCCTTACAATTGATATATATATTATAACATATGAAGTTTTACATGAAACATAAATATAATTGTAATTGTTAGAGAAACTGTTTCTCACATTTGCTTACACAATAAGATACAAAACCGAATCATTTTAAATAATATCTTTGGAAATGGTTTTCGTTCTTTAAAATTCAACTTATAAGTTTGAGAAAGCTTTTGTAGATCTAACCTCTATGGTTTAACTCTCACTGAAGACAACTTATAATTTGGCAAATTACCTTAAAGAGATTTCCGCGACACCTCCAAAAAAGAGCTGCTAAGATCGAGGAGCACCGTGGAGAACTGGCCCTGGCCCATCGAGCAAGTCGACTTCCGCTTAACTTGGACCGTCGGCTTCTATGATTTGTGGCTATTTTCCTGTCGCTCATTCTCAACACGTGCGCTAAACGCGGAGTCGAGTCCACCGCATTGAGGTCACCAATGAGACGCACTAACGCCGACTTTTGGGTTTCTGTTTTTCCGTTTAAATTCATTGTTTGTTTTTTATTTTTGTTGTTGTTGCTGGCTTAGGTTTCTGATGTTTGTTGTATTGACCAATTGCATTAATTACCGTTAGGCCATCATCGCATTGCGTTGTGCATTTTTAATTTGCCTACGAGCCAAGGCAGTAAGGCATTTGAGCCGGCCAAAAGCGTACGGCAAATGGCCAACGGCAAAAAAAAAAAAAAAAGCAGTAAGCTACAGCAACTACGCCATAAAAACGCCATAGGTAACCCTAATGTTTGGACAAGCCCAGCACGAGCCCGCCGATCGGTTTTCATTCGCCCATCTTCGATTACGATATATTATTTTTTTGGGGCCGTTTCTCTTTGTAACTTATACATATATGCGTTGTTTATGTGTGGGAATTCCATTGACGAAGCTGTTAACTGCTAAACCTTTTGGCTTTTTATCGAGGTGTGTTAGTGGGTCCAACAGTATAGTCAATGGCTATGTGTGTGGCTCTTTATGGCCTTAGTACGAACGTATATAATGCAAGTCAGCTGCGTTTGAGCTCTTTTAACTGTGGTTTTAGGGTAATTTCAACCTTTGAACTCTGCGGAGCATTTAGGATTTCTGGGTATGGTTTAAGCGCACTTGGGCAATTGTTGCACAAGCCAAAAACAGTCAAAACCGTAAAGCTATTTGGGAAAATACAGGAAAACATGCAAGGAAGATTTTTAATAAGTGTAAGCTTTAAAGGGGTTTGAAGTCGGCATTAAACAAGGAGTTTATTTATGGCTTGTTATAAACTTAAGCTTTTTGTTAATAATAAAACGGAAATGGTAATATATAAATACAAGATAATGAGCTAAAAAAAAATGTTAAGCAATTTTAAAACCATGTTTAAATATACACAAAAATTTATAGCTAAATGTTTAATGTATTTTTCATTTGTGTTTTGAGAGTATTTAACTGTTAAAGATTATTAAAAGTATTACAAAAAGAAACCTTTACTTAATTTTAGTTACTGATAGGTTTTATAAACTATTTAAATGCATTAATTAAATTTTTGCTTGAGGGTTATTTAAATGTTTAGAAAGTTTTTTAAACATTTTTGGATAATTCCATTTCCATAGCCCTATGAACATTTTAGCCTTATATTTTGGCCATTATTCCGCTGGTCGCGTATCTCTACTGACTTTTCGGTTTACTTTTGGCAGGCGGTGCTGCCCACACACACAACTGGGTTAACTGCAATTCATTCAGCAGCAACACCCAAAGAAAACGCCATCAAAACGCTTGCCCATTAAATTGATGTTTTATTTCTAATGGAGATTTGCATAAATTTCGTTTACATCAGCGATTCAGCGAGTGAGCGATTCAGAGATACAGAGATTCGGGGGACCAAAGGCCTCACCCAAAGTGAAAAGCGTGCAGCAGTCGCTGAATTTGTGTATTTGTCTTTTTCCGTCTATGGGTATGTTGCAATTAGCGTGAGCGTGGCATCTATATAATTCCGTTTAGTCTGGCCTCACACAAAGGCGTCCACAAAAACTGTATTTCCCATGATGGAAACGGCCGCAAATGATGTCTGAATTTTCCTTTTGTCGTCGAGGGTTGTTAGTTTGTTTGGCCCTTTTGATTCGACTTGACTGGCTGCTCGGGGCGCTTATTGAGCAATTTCGGTTGCTCTGGCTGCCGTTGTACTATTTTCAATATTGTTTACAAATTTATTATCTGGGAACGGAGCGGCAGGCAGGCAAAAAAAAATTGACTTGAAAACAAAAGACTTAGGCAACGAACTTGCATGCATTGAACCAGAATTCTAGCGTAAGAAAAGGAAAGAAAAAAAAACGACAACGACTTTTCGCAGTCGTTTTCGTGAAAATGAAAGTTTTTCTCGCTGGTCTGCAGAGTTTTCGCTTTTTTCCACTTCCATGCGCAGGCATTTCCATCGCTTTATTTTTTTTTTCCTCAGCATTTTCCTTTGTTTTCCTTTTCCTTGGGATTTGTTGGCTGGCGACCGTTGTTTTGGCACCCGTTCACCTGGTTTCGGTTTCGCTTTTGGCCCGGCCCGAGCAACAGGATTTGGCGTTGGCGCAAAATAAGCTAAATAAGCAGGAAAAACCACTAAAACGAGACAGATACAACACATATCATGTGGGCTGGCTTTTAAGCCCAAAAATTATACGACAAATTCAATGGAAACTTTTTTTTGCGGTTGCCACTTCATCAACGTTGCAGGATCAATTGAGTTTCCTGCTCGTTGCTTGATTGATTTACCAGATGGCGGAAGAGCTGCTCTGGGCTATTATTAACATATGTCAGCCTTAAATTTGCATAAATTATACAGCTACATTTTCACGTTTCGACTGAGCACAGGCATAAGCCGAAAAAACAAATTGAAAATGAACATATCAATGAACTTTGGACATCGGCATCAACTAGTGCCTGCAACCTGTCACAAGATGAATTTATCAAGACCATAATAATTTGCGGTGATTGTATCTATTGACCTGGCAGACACAAAGAGATTCGCCGACGCTGCCGCCGGATCCCAAATAAAAATCATTTATTAAATGTCAACTCTGAGCGTTGCGAGCATCTGTTGCTTCCTTTGAAAGTCGTGACTGCAAAAGTTCAACAGCATTTTACACGAAAAAGTGCAACCACCAGCACTCGAGATTCTCTGGCGTCTCATCTTCTTGGCGGTTGGTTGGTTGGTGCACCGTGCACGTGTTGCAAGCTCAGCTTAACCCACTGAAGCTCCATTACGGATCTTGCAACAGAATAATGGACTTTAATTGCGCCCACAAAAATGCGGTTTGTCGCCTGACGTCACACGTCTCGTCTGGCCAAAAAAATATCCGTATATTTCATGTTTCTGATTTAATGTTGTTCGCATGCTAATGCTTATCGAAACCCGTTCCGAAACTCGTTCAAATCGAACTAATTTCATGCACAAATCAGATTACGTATACGCCGGGGAGAACACGCGCTTGCGGTGTGGCACTTTTGCTGCAACTTCTGTGTTTGCTGTTGCAACTCGGTGGGGACTAATTAAAAGTCAGCCACCAAAAAACCACTCAGTGAACTTCGGCATTTTGAGGTCGTCTCCTCTGCACGGCCTAGAAATATGAGAAACAACTACAGGTTGTAACCAGTTTCTCAGTCGACGAGTATCTCGAGCCTACAAGATTCTTTTGCCAAGCGAAACCTGAAGTGAATCTGCCCAAAGAATCCGACAACGGAATGAAATCAAAAGTGCTTCCAAAACTCCCATCCCAGACTCTCGATCTCGCAGGCCGAGTGCGCAAACGCAAAGCATCCGAAAAGGTTAACAAGTTTTACTACATGATTTATTTGCATTTTTAATGTGTGTGCCTGCCGCTGAATGAGTGAGCTTGCCTAGACGAGTTTTGGCCAAATTGTAGAATTGTGGCCAAAAGCCAAGACAAGCCAACATTTGATGTTTGCTCGTTGCTCACTTTTTGTTGTTCATATTTTTCATATTTCACTTTTATTATTACCCAAAAAAGTGGCTCAAATTGTGGGCATGTTGGTTACTGGGCTAATGGCTTTGTTTATGACGTTCTTTGTTCGGGTTAATTGAGCCAGCCAGGTACGGAGGGAAAAACAGACCAGCTGTTGAGTTTTTGGGGTTTTCTTTGAATGTGCATACATATATGAAAATCATATGGGTTGGGGTTAATAAATAAACCATGAAAAAAAGCCATCTGGAATTTAAAAGCTCTTCAGTGGTCTTAAAAACATATAATCTCTAAGTAAACATTATTATCACATTTACAGAAATGATAGTTCATAATTAACAAAGAGTTTAAATTAAAGAATGTTAATAAATACATTAATTAAATAACTAATAGGAATTATGTTCTATAAATATAAATACTAAAATTATATCATTAAGTCCAGCTGTTTGATTTTATTTATTTTAAAAATATAACCTCTAAAAACTGTTTTATATTAAATAAATTAAATACCCGTTTATTTTATGTTAGTATATATATTATATGAGTTTGCAATAAAATAGTTTGCTGTTGATCTACTTTTTCTGCAATTAAAACTACCTGCAGTTAACAGTTTGTTGAAACGCTGATCCAGTAATCGATTAATAGCCCTGGAATTCAGTTACAGAAGTCGTATATGTTTTATACTAGTCCACTTTATGTGCAAGCCGGTTTATATAAAGCAGAAATGTAAAATATTTTCAGAGTGCACTTAGGCATGACGCAAGCCGAGAGCAAAGCAGTGCAAACCTCGCAGACAAAGCTGCAATCAAAAGCCTTGCAGCACTTCAAATATCTATGCATATAAGTATATTGTTAGATATAAAAAAGACTTCAAGCAGAGCAACACAAATGCTCAGGCTGCAAAGGCAAAGGCAACACCACCGACAGCAACGATATCGTTGTCTATAATTTTATATGTCTCACTGCACCACGAACCGAGCCGAAAACCCCTGAAAACCCCTCTGAAAACCCCCCTGAAAACCCCTCTTAAAACCCCTCTGAAAACCCCTCTGAAAACCCCTGAAAAACCTGGGTCTGGTCTTTTCTCGTCTGGCTGTGTTCGTGTCAGCATTTGCTCCGATTTGATTTTAACTTTTATTTAACAAACTGCAAAACAACACAAACGCAAACACAGTCTGACGCTTGTAATGGCAGCCAGGCAACAAAAAGGCAACACAAATAAGTAAAAGTAAAATGAGTAAAAAAAAAAAGAAATAAAAAACTTAAAACGCAAGCGCCCAACAAGGCCGTTCACTTTGGCACAAACACTCAAGCACGATGGAAAGTGAAAATTGCTAGCATTAGCCGCAGTCTTTATGTTTTTCATTCGTTTTTCCAGATGCCCCGAAACAAGTTACGAATCTTATAGGATCAAATCGATTGATTTTCTTTGTATTTTTCCTATATTTTTTGGGCTTGCAATATAATGGTTTTGGAAAGGATCGTTAAATTTGTTTGGTAACAAAAATGATACGATCATTTATAATTATATTGCGCTTAATATGTGCAGCTATATAGTTTAATTATTCTTTAATGTCACAGAGTGACTGCCTATTTTGATTTTTATTATGTTTAAAGTTGAGTTACTTTTTTATTTAAATGATTTATATAGATAGTTTAATTTCTTTCTATATATACTCAAATACTTTAATCTTGAGAGTATTTTTTAATTTTTAGCAACATTTATACCTCAAATAACTTTTGGTCATGTTTTTGTTATTTTTTTTTGTTGACGACACAGATAAAATGTATCATTCCAACGAATGGTTTATTAAAGTATGATATTCGAAGAATGTCTTAACAAATTTTTACAAAGAAATATTCAACAAGAAAGGAAAGCTAACTTTGGGCGGAGTTGATATACCCTTGCAGAATATTCTGTAAGTTATGGCATTTCCAATCGTTCAGTTATATGGCAAATTTAATAGGTCGGATTGATTGGCCAAATCCCAACTTCCTAACTTTACAAACACCAAAGTATGGCATTTCCGATCAATCAGTTATAGGGCGGCTATAGGATATAGTCGGCCGATCAGCTTGGCTGAAAACCCAAAAAAACGTATCTGAAAATTATATTGACACGGTCGTGAAAATGTGGCGCCAGTTTTTTCAGCCACGCACATATCCTGCCGATTCTCTCCTTGCCACAGAAATTAAATTTCATTTTGATTTTATTTTATCTATGCCTCAAATTTGAATTTTAATTCAAACGTCTATATGTGCGAAAAGCAGGAAAAGTCGCATTACTTCACAGCCACCCACTACTCTGGCAATCAGAAAATGAAGTGGCTCCTTGGAGGTTCTCCGCTGGGTATTAAGAAATCCCTTTATATGAGACAGCCTTGACAACCTTTATTCGAATTAACTCTAATTCAAATTGTATGAATGAGTATAAAAATATTTTAGACATTAGGCAATGAACTGTTTTTAAAAGCTGGTTTAATATACAATACAAGCTTTGTATTAACAATGATTAGTTCCATATTTATTGGTAGTTTTATTTTTGCTAAATTTTTAAGTACGTTTAAAAATTGATATACAAAATTTTCTGTTTTACTGCCAGTTTATTTTAGGAAAATAGGAGTACAATCTACATATTTTACAAATTTAAGAAATTTTTTTTCTCTTGTTTCTCCATAAAGAAAAATTATTAAATATTTGCAAAATAAACACAGATGTCGGCAAATCTTCCCCTTAAGCCCCACAGTCATTTCAGACTCAAACATTTTTGATGAAAATAGAAACAATAGATTTAATTCAAACATGGGCCAGCTGTTGACAAACGATGAATGAAAACAATATGTAACGAATAATTAGAGGCGAACAATTGGAGTTGAGCTCGACAACCCCCAATCTAGCAATTCTCCATTCTTCGGAGATTCCAGCTAAGCACACAGATGAAGCTGACGTCACGGGGATTCTCGGGTGGGATTTGGCTGCGTTTTGGTGATGTTTCAAGTTTTTGGGTATAAAAGGGGCTTGGCGTAGACCGAATCGACATCAGTTCCGATTGGAGCAAAAGTCTGAGAATGCGTGCCTACATTGCAATTACCCTTCTGGCCCTGGTGGCAGCAGTCGTGGCCCAAGGAGGTGGCGGAGGTCGTGGAGGACGTGGCGGAGGAGGAGGACGTGGCGGAGGAGGAGGACGTGGCGGAGGAGGAGGTAATGGCGGTGGCAATGGTCAAGTTGGCGGTCGTTTGCCAGGTCGCCAAATAATCCCAGGTCGCCCAGGTGGTATAGTGATCCCAGGTAATCCAAGGCTCACGGTTACCACTAGTCCCTCAAGTCGCCCTCGTCCCACACGTCGCCATCGTCCCCATCGTCCCCATCGTCCCAGACGTCACCCAAGACCTGTGCGCACCACCACGAAGAATAGTTTGCCTGACAACTCCAAAGAGAGCACCACCACTGATAGCACCACCAAGAGCACCACCACCGAGAGCACCACCACCGAGAGCACCACCACCGGGAGCACCACCACTGAGAGCACCACCACCGAGAGCACCACCACTGACGGCACCACCGAGAGCACCACCACTGATGGCACCACCGAGAGCACCACCACTGAAGGCACCACCGAGAGCACCACCACTGACGGCACCACCGAGTGCACCACCACCGAGAGCACCACCACCGAGAGCACCACCACCGAGAGCACCACCACTGATGGCACCACCGAGGGCAACTCCACTGATGACACCACCACCGAGGGCACCACCACCGAGAGCACCACCACCGAGAGCACCACCACCGAGAGCACCACCACCGAGAGCACCACCACCGAGAGCACCACCACTGAGAGCACCACCACCGAGAGCACCACCACTGACGGCACCACCGAGAGCACCACCACTGAAGGCACCACCGAGAGCAGCACCACTGACGGCACCACCGAGAGCACCACCACTGAGAGCACCACCACCGAGAGCACCACCACCGAGAGCACCACCACCGAGAGCACCACCACCGAGGGCACCACCACCGAGGGCAACTCCACTGATGACACCACCACCGAGGGCACCACCACTGACGGCACCACCGAGAGCACCACCACTGAGAGCACCACCACCGAGAGCACCAACACCGAGAGCACCACCACCGAGGGCACCACCACCGAGGGCACCACCACTGATGGCACCACCGAGGGCAACTCCACTGATGACACCACCACCGAGTCGTGAAAGATTTAAAGAGCAAATGTGTAGACTTGTAGAGCATTCAATATTACCAAGAAATAGGTATTCAAAGTAAATAAAATATAATTAATTTGGCACATTAAACCACTCTTTGTTAGAAGAGACCTTTTTTCAGATATTTAGTACTGAATTGTTATGACTTTAATTTATGTAATTAAATGTGATCGCTAGCCAAGATAATTTTACAAATACCTAAGTGGTATTGTAGTGCGCTTGTGTCAGGATAGTATGGTAACTCTGTATATAAAGTAAGCCCAGATCTTAACTATCTGATTTATTCTATACTTCCAATAGTTCGTTCTAAAACCCACGCTTACGAAAATTTGATTCACTGTCAATACGTACAGTTTGGCATAAAAATAATAATACTTCCTAACTTTAAGAACTCCAAAGTTATGGCATATCTGATCGGCAAAAACAAATTGTAATACCTTACCCCCTTAATGATTTTAAAAAATTAGTTTATTGAAGGGTTTAATTATAATGTTTAAAATGAAAACAACAAATAGAATCCCAAATTAAATCCTGGTGGCTGTTAATGAAGATGTTTCTCAATAAAGGTGATTTATCTAAAATCCAACCTAAAAACCTTTTTTGATTGCTTAACATTAATCAATTTTTTTTAAATTCCCATGTGGTTGTCTTTCAGGAACACATTCAGGAAGTGCTGGACAAATGGACCCAAATCGACGACGAGATCTGGGCCAAAGTGATCGTCTTCGAGCGGAATCGTCGCGTGGCGAAGGCGTACGCACGTGCTCCGGTGCTGACCATTAATGGATCCGACGATGGCTTCGACGGCATGAGGTGAGTGGTGTTTACACAGTCCTCCGTACCATCCCTTCACCCTCCATAATTAACGGTCATCGCCAAGCGAAGGCAAGTAAATAAACAGAGGGACAGGGGCAAAAAAAAAGCCCAGCAAAACACATTAAACATGGGCAAACAATGCCTTTGAACTTTGCTAAAACAAAACAAAATAAGACACAAAAAAAAACATAAATATTAATGTCAGTTGGGGCATGAGCACTAGCAAAATAATATGCCCTTGACCCACTGGCAAAGAAAATACCCAGCAGGAGCTGCTCTTCGTCGTATTTCACTCTTCGCGAATACACAACTCAATGGGGTATCGTCAAATTGATGGACAGTTTGCTACAGAAATTAGCAAAATTATCATTGGTATTAGTCGATAAATGGAGGTAACTTTATTCATGTGCTTATAAATTGTTTCTAATTACCAAGTAGTAATAACTGATTGATTGATAATTATTTCAAGAGAAATATTAAAATAAATAGAGAAAAGAGCTTCTCAAAATGTTTTTAAAATTTGGAAATATTTTGTTTTTATTTTCAATTTAAAAGTACCATTTATATTTGCTAATCTCTTCGAAGCTTAAATGTCCTAATATATATACTATTTCATTAACCCCTAAAAATTATAAAACCTTCTCAATAAAAAACAAACATTAAATTTAAAAAAACATTGGTCGAAAAAAGAAAGAAAGAAGAATAGAAAATTGCTTTAATTCAAACTGATATATTTTTCATTATCATTAATGATAAATATTGTAATAAGCCGATTAGTTAGTTCATCATTTTATTATTTTATTTCAGTAAAAATTAAATAGATTCACAGATTCTACGAACAGATTTGCAAGTGTTTTTAATTTCCAAAACGTGCCTGTAATTCGCTGACAAGTGTATCGCCAACTTCGATGCGAATGGCTGTAACCTTCATCTGGTTGTCTTGGCTTTTCGCTGTAATCATAAATGCCTGCTGATGTGCTCTCGAATGGGCAATGAATGAAACGCCCATCAAATTGATGGGCATGCCATTAAAATTTAATTCCCCCGATGAACTTCACTACGCAAGAGATGTAAGTGGTGGAGAACCTTCGGGCAGGGGCATTGCAAAATACTGACCTTAGTGGCAACAATTTGTAGCATGTGAAAAGCTACGTGGTGAGCAGAAAAAAAAAACCCAAAAATAAAGAACCGAAAAGCGAGTGAAAATGCTTTAATAATTGCGCTTATTTCTATGAAATGAGCGATTTCCGTTTTGGCAAAGCAATTTGAGTCAAGAATTCGGCATGTCTTATTTCTCTTATTTTTTTTTGGAGGTCTCTCAAGCGGTTCTTGGTATTTTTGGGTGGCTGCAATTGCAGCGAGGGCCTAATTAACATATTCCGCCTCAAAAATATTGCTGTTGCGTGCCAGAAATTGCCAAATGCCAAGTGCTTTACGCTCAATTGCTGTGGCAATTTGCTGGAAACCATAATGTCAAGAAGTTTTTTCAGTTGAGCGTAGAAAACAATTCAATGGATCTATGCATAATGCATTAGGCTAAGTACATGTGCCGATTATTCAGTTCAAATATTGAAATCTACGGCCACAAGGAGATGGCCAAAAAAGGGCATCAAGTGCAGGAGATCGTGTGGCGGCGGCGGCATCCTTTGTAAATGGCCACAAATAAAGTTGCTGCCAGCCAAATGTCAACAGCGAAAACACAAATAAATTGCCAGCAGGCTGAAGACAATGAAGATCGAGAGGAAAACAAATGAAATTGAAAATAATAACGAAAGTCATTCATTCAATTCGTTTTCATTCGTGACGAGGTCATCACAGATTGGCCATGCAAATTGCTCTTGTCATGGCAAGTCTTTCTCTGCAATTTGGCCTCTCCCCCTCCACCTCAATTTTACCACAAAGATTGGTTTCCTCGACTACTTGTTTATGTCAACTGGGGGTTAAATACAGCATCGGAAAAGACGGAAAAACTGAAAACTGCCTTTTGCATGCAGAGAGTGTCAAGTTAATCAATTGCCAATTGCCGCCGACTTCAAACATGCACACCAAAAGGAAAGATAATTTATGGCCATGTTGCCCCTTGTTTATGAGTCTGAGTGTGGTCCAAAGACCCTTGTACTTGTCACTGCCATTGTCTTTTTGTCTTTGGGCTGCCTGTTTTTTTTTCTTTTTTTTTTAGGTTTTTTTTTATTGCCGTCTAGGGCCAGCAGCTTGTTTGTTTAATTAGCCGCTGTCAGCGCTTGTTAGTTGCTGCTATCTTTCGGGTTAACCGAATTGCATTTGAATGTGCCAGAGACATCAGCGCATACGTGCATACTGAATGCCATTTCACACGCAACGCTTTTCATTGGAAATCTGGCCAGTATGCAAATATATGGAGCTGCACCAGCGATTTGAACTATGATAGCTGCTTTATATGTATGCATAAAGTATGTGTGGCTGTAACAATAACTATAAATTTGAGCAATATCACTTCTCTACAACGTTTCGAATTCATTTTTTACAGCCTGCAATATTTTTTTTTATGCTCCACTTAAAGTCCATAAGTTCATATTCCCCAGCTAAAGTCTAAACTCCAAAGATTCGTTTGGATTATTCATATATGGTGCACAATTTATCCACTTTTATGCCTATTACCAATGCATAAAATTGGATTCCATGCTAACTTACATTCTAATTAATTATAGTTCGCAATCAATGATAATAGTCCCTCAGTAGTTATCTTTACTTACTCTTAATTAAGTTGACTTTTTATTTACAGCAATTTATTTTATTTTAATTTGTAAAAATGTTTTTCCTATACTAAAGCCGCCCAATTCATTAGAAACGCATACAACTCAATTTTATTTTATGTTAAATCGTTAAACGTGCTTATTAGTATATTTACTTTTCAGATTTGTTTTAAAAACATTTTTAAAGCTTATTAAGGTAATTGTATATTCATGAATTTTAATTTATTCGGAGTCAGTGTATTTAACCATCGGTTAAGTTGAGTGTGCTAACTCCAATTTTTGTGGGTTGCATGCATAGACAAATTTCCATTTGTGGAGTCTACTGCCAGCTGCTGCATGTAAATTAATTAATTAGACTGACGCTGATGTTGCTGGCGTGAATGTTGCTAGTTGCTGGTTGGTAGTTGCTAGTTGCTGGTTGCTGGTGTGGGCGCAACACTCAAAAGGAGGACCACACGCACACTTTAAACAGCCAGCTGCGATCAATGATCTTCAAGACACATTGGGTTTCAACAAGCGCGATTAATTAATGGCCAATCCTTGAGCACTTATTGTGGTCCGGCAATTACATTAAACCCCCATCGTCCCCTAGCCACGAATTCAATTGAATTGGCGCCAATATAAATTTTGCAGTTTATGACAGTTTGCAGGCGAGCTAATTTTTGCGAAACATTTCGTTGCGTGGGCGTGGGTTAATCGAATTTGCATGTGGCTGGGAACAAATGAAATGGAAATCAAATAATAATATCAAGCTGTGCTCCGATTGCAACACACAATATGGTGTATACACGGTGTGTATTTTTTATTTTTTAGCATGTTTCGTGCGGAAAAAACTAAGGCAAGGGGCGCGCCAAGGTTGAGATTTGCGAGAGCTGCCTTTGGCCAGACAAAAGACATTTTTTTTTCTATTTTTTTTAAGAGGGGGGTATTGCTGAGTAACCGCAGTAGTTGCAAAAGCAACACTGTCATTGTTGCTGCCACTGCTGCACACGTGCCACATTTGTCAGGGCAAGAACAATAGTTAAATTACGACGGCCTTCGGGTCGCAATTTAAGGTGCGACCCCAAAAACTGGAGCGGGAAATGCTTTAACTGTGGCTGCGGCTGAACAAGCGTTGCCTATAATTAGCCATAATCTAATTAAAGACAAATCAAGCAAAACTAGTTCGCCGATCAGGGTTCGTTTCCTAAGTCTTTCGTTTGGCGACTTTTACTTTAAGCACATAAACCGAATACATACATGGCCACATGTAGCATATACATATATATATATATATATATATCGGTTTCTTTGCTATGGTATTTTTAACTGAACCGGTTGGACATTGTTTTTGCCCACTGGCCGCAGGTCAAAAGTTGCTCCCAACCACCGTTCGAAACCAGTTGCCGTTAACTGCAACTTTTTTGCGGCTGCAGCGACGATGGTGGCGATCTGGTTGCGGTGGAAGTGGCTTCCTCGAAGAAGCCACTTTGCTGGTTCGTCCTCGCAAGTGCAGCCTGACCCACTGCACACGTTTAACTTGAACTCCAAAATCGCAGCGGTTTCAAGTTTTTTTTGCAGATCGAGTTGGTCTGGTCGTTGGTTGGACTCTCGCTTTCAGCTGGGCCTTTCGTATTTCCAGCTCATTTAGGCGTGTCAAGTCGAGTCCAGTCCTGAGACCAGACGACCTTGCAACCAATATACGTATGTACTTGCTATATAGACATCATACATAAGTGCGATAATGCCTGGGCCACATCGAAGTGAATGTCCACAAGACATGCTTCGCATAAGTATGTATTAAACTGTCAGTGGGTTGGGCTGCTGGTTCTTGAATTTAGCTTAATAGCTCAACACGACAGAACACTACAGTCGGACTTCTGAAAACTGTTTCTGAATCTCTAATAAATAGCAAACATACCTACTTCGGTTTCTTCTATGACATATTGAATTAAATCATTCTTGTAAGTCATTTGAAAATGGTTGAGCAATTCCATTAATTGATTGAGATTCCTATGTTTAACTATAAAAATCAGTCGAGGTATTGGAAACTAATCAAAATTAAATTGAAACTAATTAAATTATTTAGAAATCTGGGTCGAAATATATAATATTGTTTGTCAATAAAAAAAATACAGATAGAGGAACTATTCACTTAAGATTCCTATCAATTAATTGTTTAATATTACCTAATCAACAATTATATTTTTTACAGAGCAAAGCCTTAATTTAATTCGCTTTATCAGCAAAACTTAAGTTCGAATGATTAAGATAAATAGAACATTATATTTAGCCAAGTTGAACTGTACTTCTTACACCCATCTGCTCTCAGCTGTTGGCATTCAGTTTAATAACATTTCGCTTTTGATGGCTCGAATTTAACGAAGCATTTACCGAACAAAGAACTGCAAATCCGCTTTCGGCAGCCAGGCGTTCAACCTTGAGGGGCACACATCGCATCGGAGGCAGCACCACACCACGGCCCGTCCATGTCGATTTCATTTCATGGAAAACTTTGACACACATTTCAACGGTTTTTACAAGCGTTTAGCCAATAAATCAGCACCGAGCGGCAGACGTTACGCGCAGAACTGAAGCACATGGCCAAATGCCAAAGCGATGCTAACGGCGATTGTTGCTAGTTGCAAGTTGCTGGTGTTGCTAGTTGCTGGTGTTGCTGTTGTTCTTGTTCTGGCTGATGTTGCGCTTTGCTGCACTGGCAGCGCTTCATTATCCAAATTAACATAAAACATAATAGTGACAGAGCGGCGTCAGGTGAAGAATCTCCATCGGCAGGAGCCACACCATCCACTTCCACTGGCAACAGCAACGTTAAAGGCAACCCAGCAGCAGCATCATCATCATCATCATCTTCATCTTCAGCTTCTTGCCGTGGCCTTTTATTTTTATGCAAACGACAATTACAATTAGCTTGGCTTCATTGTTTTTTGGCTCTGCGGCTTCCTCTTGCCGCTTCTTGTTAGCATTTCAGCCGACATTTTCGGCGACCTTAGAGCGGCGAAGGAAAAACCAAAAAAATCAAAAACAAAAAAAACAAAAAAAAGAACCAACATTCATCATTCAGTTAAGGCTGCAGTTTCGGTGGATTGTTTGGGCCCATCTATGGCTAGCCAGATTTATTTTAAGCTTAGGAAATAAACCCTATTTTGGTAAATACAAATTTTACGGTATTACCCTAATCAGCATTATCTTTACAAATTAGAGTTAAGGAATTTTGACAAATAAATATCAGGGAAGTCTCCTTATTAAAAAAGGAATAAGATTACAAAATTGTTTGCTGTAGTAAAATCAAACATACTAAGAACATTCATAAATTAAATAATTCAAAAATTATAATACCTATTTAGTTCAGGTAATAAAAATAATTTATTAAAAAATTCATCTCTAAAGATTGAAAATATATAAATTTAAACCTTGGAGTATGTAATAATTTAACTAAACTCTAGCCTGCGAATGACTCAGCTCTTGGTTTTAAGCAATTAAAAGAAAAATTAAGGCCTTGGCGCCGAAATATGACATGTTTATTTAATAAATTTGGGGCTGCAGCTGCCACACTGTGGCAGCATGTGGTATAAATCACTGTCAGTGCGCATTTGAGCCAGACGATTGAACAGTTCTCTTGGGCTCAATAGCCAAAACTTAAAACGCAAAATCCGTGGCCCAAGCCAAAAACCCAGACCCATGGCAAATGTTTTGTCAAACGTTTAGTGTAACAAAATGCGGCACACGGGCCAAGAAACCCAGTGTGAGTCACTCGAGGCAGCAACCTCGATTCCAGAAAGTGAATGGCGCCAAGTGGCAACTCATTTTGGCAACATTTTCGTGGGCCCGCTGCTTTATCGATTTTAAATGCGGCAGCTGATTGATTTGCAATTAATAAAACGCTCATTATGACTCTATAATGATTGCTTAACATTGTCTACCTATTTTTTTTATTTGCAGAATTGGGCTGTGCGGCTTCGACAATCCGATGAGGGATCAGAAAACAGACGAGATGAAGCGCGTCATCGGACAGGTAAGTTTCCAATTTATGGCACACTCGGAGCGACAACGGTTTAATTAGCTTGGACAATAAACCCGAAAAATTGACGAGAAATCTCCATTAGCGGGGGAGATGGCGTGAAGATTACGGACTACTTAAAGCTTTTCTCTAATGCCAAATTCCAGACTTTCAGACTCTATTTTAAATAGATTTGTGTACCATGAAACCAATTATTTTGAATTTTAAAAGTAGTGCCGAAACCAATAAAAAATTAAGTTGAAAAGCAACTTAAGATATTTGTTAAGGTATTCTTTTATGTGTCTACTTTGATGCAAAAAAGATAAGAACCATAAAAAAACAGTATATCATATATAATTTTTATGAGCATTTTTTAAATACAGCATAAACATTTCAACTAAGTTTCAACAAATTAATGCGTTTGATTTTGGTGTTTATAAAATTGGTATATTACGAGTATAAAATTGTTATTTTTCCAGGGTGTTAAAATCAAAATGGACGATGCTGGCAACATACTCATCCGGCGGTACGCCAAGAGCAATGTCTATGTGAAGAGCACTGCCAGCAGTCCGAACGAGGAGACCTCCATCGGTGCCGAGATTTTAAAACTGCCCAATCAGGCGCTCGAATCCGAAAAAATAGTCAAGGTGAGTGGGACTTACATGGTTGGCATTTTATCGCGATCTGTATCCCACATCCAAATCCACTCCAAATGCTAATAAGCGTTGCATTGTTCTCCCGCCGCCAGCTCTTCGACATGAAGAAGTTCCAGTCGAACGTGAATCGCGAATTGCGACGAGCCTATCCGGATCGACGGCGTTTGGAGACGCAGTGTCTCTCCTCGGTGGCGTTTGTCAAGTCGGAGAACGACGTCTTGGAGTGCCCCATCTGGGTGCTCATCGTCAATGTGGTGGCCATGGATATGCTGAAGAGCAAACTGCCGCCAGGTGAGTTGAACTATGCTTTGCCATTTACCAATTTCGGAACTTTCGGAAGATACAATGCATTGGAGTTCCTTAGCAATCACTAGGGTCTCTAAAATCACTTATAAAGGTGTCTAAAAATATGCAGGCAGAAAGGAATGCCTTCTTTATAAACGAATCCATGGGACTTTCGGTTAAAAAAATATTGTTCCTACTTCTAGACGACTTTAAAAGTGTCTTAAAAACCGCCTTTTATATACAGGTGTATCTAAAATATAAAATAATAATAATATAATATAAATGTAATAATTTATCCCTACCCAGTGCAACGTCCCATTGTGGACATCAAGAACCGCCCGCGTATTCCGATTCCCGACGAGGATCCCTACAGCGTCGCGGGCAATGGAAGCAATGGTAGCTCCGGCAGTTCTGGATTCGGCAGTGGCCACCAGGCGCAACTGCATCCACAGCAACAGCAGCAGCTGGGCAAGCACCTCAATGGCAATGGAGCAGGCCATGTGGCCGCCACCCGGGAACAGTTGCTGCTCCAGACGCAACAACTGGCGCACAAGCGCAGCGAGAAGCCTCCTAAACTACCGCCCAGGGACAATATCTATTCGCACGATCTGATTCCAAAGGTAAGGGAAACCACTAGGATAGAAACCCATACAAAATAAATCTGTCTCCAAAAATTAAGAAAAATTTCTACAGAAACATGATGATTTGACCTTATCTCCTCCACTACAAGATAATTATTTTCTTTTTTATTTATTTCATGACAAATTAAGATTAACTTACTGCTAGAGATATAAAATCTTCTAAAATACAAAAAAAAAAAACGGAGCCTAAACTATCTACAAAAGTTGATCTCTATCTATATTCCGCAAGAGTATTTTTAAAATTAAAATTAAATAATCATTTAAGCAGTAATACGATACAAAATATCATTAATAGCAAATTGACCCCGCTACATATAGTTTTGATCTTTGAGCATGAGTTACATATATGTCTTTTATGGAATACTGAGGAGCAAGCCAAGTGTGGGAGATTGCCCAAGTGCAGTTGATTTGCTGGCAAAGTGTTGGAACAAATTTGGCAGTGCTAAAACACGAGTAATACAAGCCACGCCGGCGCAGAAGAGTGTGGCAACCTGTTGGGTTGAGTTACTCTGGGTGCTCCGTGGAGCTAGTAAGCTAGTAAGCTAGTTAGCTAGTTAGTTTGACTGCCCATGCTTGGTCACATGCGCAATGCGGCCACTTGCAAAATGCAGAAATGGGTCTCCCTGGGTGGAAGATTTCGCCGTTGGGCCTCACTGAGCAATTGGCATTGCATTGCATTCAATAATATTCGAATTTCAGCAGCGACTGGCCGCAAATAACTGCAAACGAATCGCGTGTAATTAATATGCGCGGAATGCCGCCGGATTGCTTTGCAGCCCCGATTGCCAATTGGGCCCAACGACCGAGTCAGTGCCTCTTGGAGAACTGGGGGTCCGTTGTGCCAAACTGGTGGCCACACCTTGCGCAACGGCCAGTGGAAAATTATGATCGAAAATCCCACTACTTTCCTTCTAATTCCGCTTTGCATCTTTCACTCATTTCAGCCGGATTACGATGACATTGATTTGGAAACTCGCATCAAACTGTCGCGTGGCAAATCGGACAAGGGCAAAGATAACAAGAAATATGGTAAGATCAAGATCACTCAATGTTCGGTGGGAGTTAACACAGCGGTGACTTGGAAATCTCTGTGACCCAAATACATACCAAGCTCAGAATTAATGAGGCATCGCAATCTCTTTAGAACACTTTTTAATCTTACACTTTTGTTAGAACATTCTGAAAGCGAATAATTTAATAATGCTGCAGAGAAGATCAAAGAGAATTTACATTTTTAGATAAGCCTGAATACTTAAGAGTTATTTGGTTTAAGCTATTATTTGTTTGGCCATCTGCAACAATTAAAAAATATTTCTGTTTTAATGACAACTCATGTATTAATTTAACATCATTTGAATATATCAACTTTAGTTTGAAATAAAATCCAAATTCAAAGGCCATTAAAAATATGACTTTAATATATAAATAATCTTTACCAAAATCCTCAGATGACCCCTACTACTGCGGCCTGCGGGCCCGAGTGCCGAACTTTGTGAAGTCCGGCAAGCCGATCTCTGGGCAGGTGGCCAAGGATCAGCGGGATGGGAATGCGAACAACATCGGCAACGGCGGTGGGATCAGCACACTCAGCCAGAAGAAGACCTCGATGATACACAACCATCTGGGGGGCATGCATCCGCACCACATCCAACAGCAGCAGCAGCAACTGATGGCCGCGGCGGCGGCTGCGCATGCGGCACAGCACCACCATGCGGGGCACCAGCGGGAGCAGCAGCAGCAGCAGCAACACCACCAGATCTGGCAGACGCGCAGCTATGAGAGCGGCATAGGTATTTATAAACAGGGTGGGCCCACCACCGCCCACCAACCACACAAATCGCACGCACTGCAAATGCAAATGCATCAGCAACTGCAACATCAACAACAACAACAACCACAGTCACTGCCAACGGACCTAACAGCAACCACTGCAACAGCAACCACAGCAACCACCAAGACACAAAGCACAGCTAACAAAGCACGTAGCCACCAGCCACATCCGCATCCGCACTCGTATCCGCACGCACATCAGCACCACAGACACCACCGGCATGGCCACCACTGCGAAAGGCACGCCCACCTGCAGCAGCAACATCCTGCACCGCAGCAACATGTGCCGCAGCAACCTTACTACGACAATCTGGAGGATCCAGTGGCTCGCCAGGTGAAGCGTCGCCTGTCCAGCCGTCGTTCTGCTCCGGAGGACAGCTCGTCCTGCAATTGTGTGAGCTGCTATGCGCTGGCTCCGCTCTGTGGCGCAGTTCCTCCGCCACGTCCACAGAGGAGCCTGAGCCAGCAGCAATTGAGGCGCCACCAGCGACTGAGTGGCAGCCAAGTGGAGCCGGAAATCCGGCCAGGAGTGGTCAAGTGGTGCAGCGAGAGCGATGTCTCGGTGCTGGAGCTGGAGCCTACGGCGAACGAACGATACGACGACTGCTACGAGTACGATGACTTCGACATGGCATTCGACCTGGACGATGACCTGGGCTTGACCGAGAACATACGACGACGCAAGGGACCGGAGACGGTGGACATGTACGTGGATCGGTCGCATCTCCGCCAGCTGCAGACGCCGGCAGTGCTGCGCACCAAGTCCCAGTCCACCGAGAGCTTCTTCGAGCAGCCCAACGAGGAGGGCTCGCTGTACATGTACGGCGGCAGGAAGCGGATCGCGGTGAAGGCGGCGCCGTCGGCGGCCAACATCTATGACCGAGTGCGCGGCTCCATCGACTCCACGGACAGGGGACGACGCAGTGGGGCAGGACCGAAAAGGGGCCAGAGCTGCCGCAAGCAGCCACAGCTGCCAGCGCCCAGTTGGCGAGGCGGCAAGCAGCGACAGGAGCAGGCTCAAAACGCTGACAAAAGACAAAGATATGACAATGCCACCACTAGCAACAGCAACAGCAACAACAACAACAGCAGCAACAGCAACAGCCAGCACAAAAGACAGCTAACGAACGCCAAGCAAGACAATGACGACATGTTGAAAAACAAAAATTATTTCAATAGTAAAAACAAAAGTATAGCAGCAGCAGTAGTAGCAGCAGCACCAGCGAAAGCGACAGCAACATCAGCCAGCACAGCAGCAACATCTGGAGGAGGAGCGGGAGCAACTGGAGTTGCTGGGGGAAAATCCAGAGGAGCAGGCGGTCCAACAATGTCCCCAACACTGGGCACTGGCCCAGCAACAAACAATACCCAGGCCAATGGACAACCTCATCCTGCTCCTCCTCATCCGACTGCCATTGGGCGAACCGGGCGCAGTGCCAGCCGCCTTGACATCAGCGACATGGAGTCCATTTATGGCTACCTGAAGCCCCGCAAGCCGCGCAGCCTCAGCCTGAAGAAAATCCAAATACTCGACTACTGAACGGACACACGTGAATTTGTATGGGGTTGCTCTAAATCGAAACGAGGTTATATGGCCCAGACATCATCGATATTAGTTATTCTTTTTTGTTGGCTTATACCCCTTTTTGGGTCGAAGGAATGGGTGGTGCTGTACATACTATACCCACAAACGCATAATGGTTACCTCTTTTACCCGGTGAACAGAACCACTAAATTGTACGAAATGTATACTAACTTAGCACCTTGGACTCCTTGGACAGTCACGAAACGCAATTGTACATACACAAATTACGAGTGGGTTGATGGTAGTTCAAAAACTAAGGAGTAGCAAGTAATCTTTGAAGGTTTTTAAAACACATTTGAAAGGATATTCAAATTGAGTATTAAAACAAATAGTACAAAGCCCCTAAGATACAATTTATAAATACAATTTAATATATTATACAAAATGTCCTAAGATGCTGAAGAGTTCGGGAGTATATTTGGTTGTTATTTGTATTATATATTTCCTACAACATTCGAACCTTTAACCTTCAAATATTTACCAAAGATTACTATACCCCCTGCGTAGAACTACCTAAACTTAAATCAACCCACCTTACCACTCATATTCACATACATTATCCCAAAAACTATACCCGCACCCAGTTTGTAACCCTCAATCTCTGTGCTTCTTGTAGATTCGGAGCTTGTTGAATCACCTTACAATCACATCTACGGACGCCATTTACCGCTGCCAACGCGCGGCTACGTGCCCACACCACGCATGTTCATCGGGGAATGGGACTGAGCTGAGATCACACCGCACTTGGGCGGGCTTTTAGCCGGATTTCGAGCGGCCAAGGCACAAAAACACCACATTCGCACATCCCGGCGCGAGGAAACGCTGCCCGTGCAGAGCTAATTTAAGTCAACCGGCTGCACACAGCTTCAAATATTATTTACATTATATTAATTTAGCAAAATATTATGGTAAAATAATATTAGGCTAGGCATAAGCACACAAAATAAGCAAGAGCAAATGCAAACGCAAACCGTTCTAATATTTAGTGGTACGACAATGGATATTTCGCGCTTTTCCCCTAGCAGTTTTGAGATTACGCACTTGAGCCAATTTTGTTTACCCTGTTGTACGAGTTGAATGAATAGCCATTACATTACGAGTTCAGTTAAGTTATAAGTTTATGTAAATTTTTCTGGGCCAGCCGACGAATTATGAACAGGCCTGTTCGGGTATTTACTTTCATAGATAATGTTTGTCTTTAAGATTATCAATTTTTAATTGAAGAAAAACGGTGTGGTGAAAACTCGAACAGACTTGCTAATTTCTAAATGGTCGGACAGGCTGCTTTTTATTTTATATCGAAATATTCTGTATTGTGTATGAAAAATAATAAAATTATCTTTCAAAAAATTAATTCAATTTCGGTCTGCTGAATCGAAAACAATATTTCCTCCCATTATAATTATAAACTAAAGATTTTTCGGCGTCGAGCCAAGGGCATTCCTGGTAATCACATGTAATAATCTGGGTCCCAGTTCGGGGGACGCATATGATCCGGGTTGGGTCCACCCTGGCCTGGCATGTTGGGATTGATGGGACCGAACGGATCGAAGCGGGGCATATGTCCCGGCCCCATATTTGGACGTGATGGAAAGGTAAATAAGTTACCAGGACCACCGCGACCCAGTGGATCCAGATCCCCGCGTCCTATGTCCGGAAAGCCAAAAGGGCGTGGCTCGAAGCCACCCGGAGTGAAGGATCTAAACGACAATAGTGAATTTAAATGGGTGTTGTAAATGGACATTGTTTTAAAATGTTCTCAGGAGGAACCCACAATAAATCTATAGCCAAAATGATAACTACCACAACGACTGTTGATGGTAGAATTGCAAACATCTTAGCCAATAAGTAAAATAAGTTATTAAGTTATTAAATATGTCTTACCCGCCACGTCTGGGTTCGCCGATGCGCAAGGGATCCGATCCGCTGGGTCGTGGCGAGGTGGTGGTTGTCTGTGTGGTCACCTCGCGCGAGTTGCCCGTAAAGACTGGATCGAGCAATTCCTTGCGATAGCGGTCAACAATCTCTGAGGCGCTTGGCATCAAGGTGTTAATGCCTCCTTTGACGGCGGCCACAAGAGTCTCTGGTTCCACGCAGATGTTTGAGACCTTCTTGGTGTTGATGTCCATTAGGTTGATCAGCAGGGCGTCCTCAGTGATGTGGCCCAGCAGCAGGTAGAGCATCTTGTCATGCACATAGCGCAGCGAGTACTTGGTATCGTCATCGTTCCAGTTGTCCGGCAGCAGCTCACTGCCCTCCTCCTCGGGAAGTGTTTTCTACGGAGAATCTAGATAATTCCAGGAACATATATGTATATTTCGCCAGAATTATACTCACATCATCGCCAATGCCTACGCAGCGAAAGTTGTAGTGCTTGGTCAGCAGAAAGTGGACCAGGGCAATCAGCAAATCCGGCTTCTTGTCTACATCCGACTGGACCGTCTTGTAGAGCAGATCCCAGCCGTAGAAGAAGTCGCCCGTCTTGGCAGACGACGCACTCTCCATGGCGGCCACACAATTTCTGAACAGGATCAAGCAGAACGAACTAAATGCTTTAATTTATGCTTAGGTGTAAATAAATGTGCTTACTTTTGCTAGTTCGTTCGGATGTGACTGTCTAGAGTTTCTCAGTTGGCAATAGTTCTGACTTTTGTAATTATATAGTATATTATTATTTACACAATATTACGTCCAGAAAGAATGAGACGAACTTTGTCTTGGTGCAATGGTTTTGTTTTTGTTTATATTGCATCTAGGCATGGGAAAAATATCCGATAGCTATTTTATACGATACTATTTCCAGAACATGCGACTGTTCCCCAACCTGTGACTTGCTTAATTTAATATAAGTTTAGCGGGTTTGTAAGCCGGTTGGTCGATTACCTTAAGGTGGAAGACGCATTTCAAATACAAAATGATTATTAGCGTAATGTAAGTAAATAAATCGCCCTTTTCTAATATCCTTGTTCTTCAAAACTGCTGTTTCAAAAACTTAAAGAGTTCTGATCCGATCATTTCACACATCTTTCTTGTTCTACAGACTGTACCCTGAACCTTTTTTTAGTTTTATTATAAGAAAAAACGTTTTAAATGAAGAAAAGGCCAAAAGAAATAAAAAAGTAAAAGATGTAACAATCAAAATATTTTCCTTGAATGTATCGATATAATTAAATAAATAATTTATAATTGATTCAATATTATACTCATCTAAATAAAGTCTAAACAGTTTCTAAAGACGTGAACCTGAAAGTCATCGATATTATCTATCGTTGCTAATATCGTTTTTTCGATATTAACGCTTTTTGAATTTTATTTTATTTGTAAGTTTGGATGATATTTTAAGTTTACATGATAATTTAACCATTCAAAATCTTTACGTTTTATCAAATTAATTATCAAAAAAGATCGAAGCACAAAATATAATTAATAAATTATTTCATAATCGCTAATACGCAACAGTCTATGGATTCCGTCTATGTCGATCTATATATGTAAATATGTACATATGTACATTTCTTAATGAGTCTTGTATAATAAAATATATTGGCTGTGGAAGATCGCGACCTCATGAATGTTGATTTTTCCGAGAAAATTACTCAAGCTCTATTTATAGGATCATCTTTGGGGGATCCCCTTTAAATGCATTCATGGTATGAATTGTATAACTTTTTTATTCTTACCTGAGTTAATATTTTCAATGTCTCTCTGAGATTAACAAGTAAGTTCTAACAACTTCTGTACTTCATATCTTAATTTGTTAAGTCAGGTTTTAATTCATTAGGCAATATTTAAAAATATCGATAAGCTTATACGGTCACGCTAATATCGATTGCTTTAAACTAGTTCATATTGCGAAATTGCGAAAATATTTGCAATAATACTAGTGCTGAGTAATTTAAAATTTACTTACACAATTTGTAATGTTTTTGTTTATAAAACATATTATGCCTTTTTACATTCTATCAATATAATACCTTTAAAGGTTCGCTCTCTTTCTCGACGCGCTCGTTTTCTTATGGACTGGCCACGAGTGTGAAAGAGATAACTATGTAGTTAGTATAGGGTTGCCAAGGCATGAAAAGTTGGCAAACATATTATTTTAAAATTACAAAATTAACAAAATTTCTTTTGAAATTATATAATTAGTTGTAAATTCATATTCAAAATTTTTTTGGGGAATTTTTGTTTTGTTTTTTACATATTACGTGTATTTTTGACTGAAAGATCATTGTTTTAGGGCTGCTTCAAAGGATATTTACCGATCTTTCAGCTGTTAAATTCTCTACCATTCTATAGGATCTAAATTGAAAGAGATTTCCCAACAAAACCAGATATAGAGTATCGTTCCAAACTTGTTATATACACTTCGTGAAGGCGACTTCGGCTCAAAAACGAAGGGGCAGCCATATTGAATTTGCGACCGACTGGCTGGCTGTCATTCTCGTGTGAAAAAATTCTTCATTCACATTTTGGATGATAGAAAATTATATCTCGTTAAAAAAGTCTCCAAATAGCGTAATTCGCCGGTTGAACCGCTAACTAATGAAAATATAAACACGCGCCAGTTGCAGTGCATTTGTTGTTGTTGTTGGCTAACAATAAAGTGTGTGATTAGCGCGCCGCTTCTTTATCTTGCGGCGGCTGTAGTTCATTGGGTCTCTTAGTGCGAAATATTTGTGCGAAACTTGGAGTTTCCAAGTCCCAGGAGCAGGATATAGATCAACAGACATGAGCAGCAGTACTCCGGGGAGCGACAGTGCCCTGGTGAAGGTAGCGACGCCTTCACCATCGCCGCTGGTCAAAATGGATGTCGACTTTACTGGTGAGTGTGCGACTGTCCGGTATCACCCATGTGCGAGAAGGCTGAGTGACTAATGAATGCCCTCCCCAGGATCTAAGTTCGAGATGCACTCGTCGCTTTCGGACGAGGAGCGCCGATTCTACCTGAAGATGTACCCCAATGTGGATCTAGTCAACCAGCGGCGGGTGCACTGCACTGTGTGCAAACTTCATCTGGGCACTGCCCCCGCCTCCGAGAACAGTATTAAGATGCACCCCATCCTGCGAGTGACGCACTGCGTCAAGTGCCATGACTTCTACAACAGCGGTGAGTTCTCCAAGGGCGAGGATGGCTCCGAGCTGTACTGCCGCTGGTGTGGCCAAGGTGGCGAGGTCTACTGCTGCTCCACCTGCCCGTACGTCTTCTGCAAATCCTGCATCGTAAAGAACCTCTCCAAGGGGGTCATCGTGGACATCGAGCAGAACGAACACTGGAACTGCTTCAGCTGCACCTCCAAGATTCTCTGGCCATTACGCGCCCAGCACTGGGCGCTGGTTAACTACATCCAGACTCAAAAGAGGTGTGTCCCGCCTTAATGCTTGATATTTTATTATAAGGACGATTTATCATTTTAAAATCAATTTATTTTTGGTCTGTTCAAACAATATTTAAAACCTACGCCTTTTTGAAATTTAAAATCGCGTGTCTGTAACCAAATGAATTGCATAAAAATCCTTGCTTCCAACTGTTAAACCCAACTTAACCAATATCCTTTCTATTATTACAGAGCCCTCCATGCGTTGCAGCTGCCCGAGGGAGAGACTCGCCGCCAGTTGCTCAAGGATAGCAGCAACTGCTGCCGCCTGGCCAAGTCGAAGGCCAGCAGTCTGTCCGACTCTATGGAGAGTCTGGAATCCAATGTCTCCAGGCGCAGCCAAGGCAGCGCAGTCAGCTCGACCAAAAGGGGATCTTTGCCCAAAGCCGTTCCTTCGGGTCCGCCAGCCAAACGCCCGAAATCTTCCAATGACGAGGTGGTCTGCACACCGGATCTGCTCAGCATGCTGGAGCCGGATTGCCAACTCTCTGTGACCCCCAAGCCGGCTAGCCGTCAGTCGGTGCCAGCGGCCAGTATCACAACCACTCCGAGGATTGTAACCGTCCAGCAGAATTACCAACCAGCTCCAAGCTCCAGCAGCAGCAATGGAAGTGGAGGTAGCCTAGTGGAACGTCCCTCAATAGGGACGCCGCGGAGCAGCTTGCCTCCCCCACTAGTGCTTAGTGGATCGGGGATTCGCTACCGCCAAAATGCCCCCGGGGCTTCCCCAAGTGTGGTGCGGCGCACCGTGGTGCCCAACTCGGTGAAGACCCCTGGGCCAGTCTTCCACACCATCAACGGATTCCGTGTTGATTTGAACAGCGCCGCTCAACAGGATTCCTACCGCCTGCCCAACGGACGTTTGATTCAGGTGAAACGCCAGTTGCCGCACGCCAACCAACCGTCGCCACCGCCACCTCCGCCTCCAATGGCACTTCCTACACAGCCTCCTGGTGTTGTCATCCGGCCGCGGCCTCCGCTTGCGTCAAATAGGCCCGGGCTACATATTAGCTCCTATGGTTCCAACATGGGCATCTACAATCCGCAGACTAACCAGCAGCAAAGAGCTCCACATGTGCGAGTTGCAAACGCAAATCAAGCACCGCCGCCAACAATACAAGCCCCGCCGCCAAATGCTAACGGAGGTCAAACATTAATGATAACTCCGGCGCCGCCTCCACATCCCAAGGTTCCGACTCTGGTGCGTCACAACTTCCCCAACACGCCGATGGGTATGGCACGCGCCCAGCTGCAGGAGCAGATCTTCAGTGCCATGGACATCTGCACCCATCTCACCGGCAAAGTGGTCTCGCTCACCCACTCGAACGCCTACAACCAGGTGCGCAACTATATGGAACTCAAGGAACTGTATATCCACATGTCCTATCTTATGACCTACGCCATCGGGCGTTTCAAGAATCTGCAAGAGAAGTGTCTGGTGGACATGCGGGAGAAGGGCTTCAAGAACGACGCCAACAGTCTGGAGAACGGGCAATTGGCTGCCGGTGAGTTGAAATATTTTTTAAAATTTTTTTTAGCAAAAGGTTGATTCCAAAGGGAACAAGGGATCAGCTATTTGTTTGTATATCATCATAGAATCATTATAGAAGCTTCATTAAATAAACTATTTTGGAGAGGTCAGTTAGTTTATAGCAATATTCTAGTTTTAAGATGGAGTTGTGACGATGGGTCACTTAGTGGCCAGAGTATCCCTTTTCCTGTCTTTGGTGCGTATTTTCGACACATGGACGGGCGTTGGCATTTGATTTCCGGTTTTCGTTTCGCGCGTGTGTTTATTTTTATCGGATGGTGATTCTGATGTTTTGATAAGCATGTAAGTATGCTGTGTTTATGAAAAACTCTGCGAGTTCCATTTCATTGACTGCAATGATGAAGAGATTTTGGTTTAGCTTGGTCCATGTGTTTGCAAAATACCATTAAAAACAGGCAATGGAATAGAACCCAGCAGCAGTTTTTCCTAACGCTTTGAAACTCTCGCTTCTTGCAGCCGTGGACTACGTTTGCTATGGGCAGCTGGATGACGTGGATCTCTTCAATACGGGCTGCAATAGTTTCCACAATCAAGTTTATGAGTATCGCAAGAGTCTACATGCCAATTTGAAAGATGGCGAGGACTGCGATCCACTGCCCCCGCTGATGCCGCTGGGTGTTCGGGCCGAAGGTGATCCCATTGATGAACCAGAGGAACAGGAAACTGAGCCGGAACAACAGCCGGACGAAGCCGGAAAAGAAAAAGAGGAAGCGGATGATTTTGACTTTGATGAACCAGACGATTTGGATGACGATTTGGACGACGATGACTTGGACAACGAGGAGTGCGGTGAACTGGGCACCGAGGAGAGCATGAATCGCAACGAACAGGCTCACGCTTACGATCGCAAGTTGACACGCCTCCTACGCGAGTATCCATCGTTATGGTGCACCCGCCATCCAGATTACGGCAAAAAGGAGGTCACCAACAAGCAGTGGCGGGTGATCGCCACTCATTTTCCGCGCGGCGATGACATTAAGCTACGCTGGAAGAACGTACGAAAGCGTTATGTACGAATTGAGAGGCGCCTAAAGCAGGGAAAGCGTTTCAAGGGCTATTTTGATAAGGCAACAAACTATTTGGAGAACAGGGATCGGCCGAGAAGCGAGTGGCTGGCGGTAGACTGTGGCGAGGATGATGGCGATGGCTTCGAGCGCAAGCATCTGGATGTCATTGAAAACACTATGGAAAACAAGGCCCCGAAGATCACAATAGGGAAACTCAAACCAAAAGCCGGCTCTCGAGTGCCCATGCGTCCACTTGAGGTGCGTCCCATTGACCAGCGCATCATCACCTTCGCCAAAAGTCATCCAGTACTCTGGCGCAAATCTGCCGATCCCGAATTCAACAGTATTGACGAGCAAACCCGGAAGTCCCTGTGGCAGAATTTCTGGAAGTCAGCGCCCAGTAAGTTCGCTTTTGGCTTTATACCCATGGACATTTTAATCTCCATTGATTCTCCTATTCTTCTAGATTATGCCTACGAGTATTTAGTCGAGCGCTGGCAGCAAATGTATGAGATGTACAAGTCATTCCGTCTCAAGAGTATTAAAGACAAGGGCATTTTCGCAAATCTGGAGCTGAAGTACTCGAAGTATTTGGCCAGCTTGTATTTCCTTTACAAGATCGATGAGCAGGACCTGCGTGATGAGTTTGAGCCGCTGCAAGATTGTGTCCCGAATGGCGCAGACTCCGCAGGAAAGCTAAAGGACATGCCCGATGACAAGCAGTTCTCCCAGCAACTAGTTCTGGCCATGCGCGCTTATCCCACCCTGTGGAATCCTCGCCATGTGGACTACAGCGATGTGGGAGCCAGGGAGCGCCTCTGGCCGGAGGTGGCCAGGCGATTGCCCCGATTTAAGCGCGATGCTCAGGCTTGCAAACTGCGCTGGCAGATGGCCAAGTTCGCCTACGAGTGCTACTGCCGTGAGATGGAGCGTCATCCGCGGGTCAACGAGCGGAAGCTCCAGAAGCTGCGCTCCAACTTTCCCCTCGAGGAGATGCGCTTCCTCAATATTTAAAGATTACATTCCAGTAATTTTCTAGGCTAAGATTTTTTGTACTTTGAGATTATAGGTTAAGCTTAAAGAGAAACTTTTTGCCAAACTTTGCCAGGAGCCATACTTAAATATATAAATTATATATTGATCATTAAAAGCTGTTGTGGTTAATATAATTATTTTATGGGCTTAATAGATATGTAAACAATTTTTAACTATATTTAAAGAGCACTATATAATTCAAAAGATAATATTTTGTTTGATTTTTATTTTTAAGCGTTCAGTTATACTAAGCTCCACTTTCATTTTTCAGAAAAACAAGCGAGCGATGACGAGGATAATGAAATCGAGATTGTAGAGCCAAAAACCGACACGATTACCATCGATTCGGACAACGAGGATGATACGCCGTCGACCTCAACGCAACAACCTCAGCAGAAGGCTATCATGAAGATAACCTCCGTGACATCGGCAGCACCAAAAAGAGAACAAATGGAGAATCAGGTTGACATCGATGTGGCTGCCTTCAGCTCCACGATATTGGCCAGTTTGCTGGAAGTAGACATCAATGATGCTGCCAACGAACCCAAGTCCGGTTCGCCAGGCCAAAAGAAGCAGCCGCGCAAAAAGACAACGAATAAACCAAATCCAGCACTTTTACAGCTGGAACGCCAGCGTATGGAGGAGATGAAAAATTCCGATGCCAAGCTGAAAATGAAGGTTGTGGTTAAGTTAAAGCGAGCTGAGGACGAGTTTGAGGTGGCGCGAAAATGGGTTGAGGATTGCAGGAAACGGCAACAGAAGTTAGCCACCGAGAAAAAGGATTCAAGTGTTGAAAATGATGACTCCGACATCAAGAATAAGGAAAAGATTGGAGAAATTTTAAAGGCAGCAATAAAAGCAAAAATAGGAGAAAAAGAAAAGAAAATTGCGGAAGAAAAACTAGTTCAAGAAGAAAGTTTTAAAGAAAAAATAACTATACTAGCCTCAAAAGAAATTGAAAAGAAAAAAGTATCTGAAGTGGAAAAGGTAAAATTAGCTGAAAAGATCAAGGCAAAAATATCTGACAAGGAAATGGAATTAACAAAGGAAAACAAAGACGAATCCAAAAAGGTCGCGGACACAGATCAGGAATCCGAAACCAAAGTATCGGAAAAGAAAAAAGATGATTCAACAAAAATTGAAGTTTTCGAAAAAGAAAAGTCTCATCCGAAAGAAATGGACCTCGATTCCGAAAAGGTATTAGAAAAAGATCAGAAAAACGAAGCAGATACTATTTTAGAAAAAGAAAAGGCAACTAAAAATGATCCCACTGATAAAACACTTACAATTGCAGAAGATGATACGAAGGTTCTCAAAGAAAAATGTTCTGAGGCAGCAACAAGTGATGTAGAAGAGGTTTTAGAAAAAGAAAAATCTGAAGACAAAGAAAAGGAGGTGGCCCAACCACTAGAAAATAAAGGGATGACAGAAGGGGAAATGGATACCCCTATGGATTCAGGGAAGGATACTATTAAATGTACTGTAGACAAAGAGGGCGAGGTAGAAAAAACAACAGAGAGCGAACTTGTAGACCAAGACACATCGGACATACTGGAAATCATGGACACTACCAATGAAAATGACGAGCCTTCCGCCGCAGAACTCATGGAAAGTATGGACGTTACTGAACTTGACGAAGCTCCCAAAGAACTACTGGATTGTGCTATAGACGAGGTCATTGCCATGGATGGCATTGAACTATCTGCGGCCACTGAAGAGCTGATGAAAGCATTGATAAGCCCAAGCGGCTTAACTTCCGAAAACGCAAATGAAGATGAGACTGAATTGGATGCCAATGATCTAATTGAAAATCTGCCTCTTGAAACTACGGAGCCACCGGAAATTCTGTTAAAAGAGGATGAAAGCGAGATAACAAGTAAATCAGAGTCGCCGATAAAGACTGAGGAAAGTGGGACACATTCGGCTAGCTCAGCTGAGAATGGTGACCCCGATACCGAATCTACCCAGGAGTCCAGTGAGTGTCCCATCGATTCCGCACTAGTTGAGCCCGCTACGGCGGAGATTGTTGGCTAGTTTGTGGTGATCATTTGAGGTCCCGCCGACGAGGAAACTTAACAGAGGACCTCAAAATGTTCAATTTAGGATTTATACTAGAACTTTAATGAAAGACTACCAACACTGCGGGTAAAAAACCAAACAACATCAAAACACAACGAGTTTCATGTATATACTTTTAACCGCTTCTTATTTGAACTCTCTACGAAATTATCTTTATATGATATTTGTGTATATGCTATTCTGTTTTAGGAATGTCTTATTTTGGATATACATACACTTGTAAAAACTAATTTCCTTGTGAAACTCATATTCCTTGGAATATAAATCAAGCGCAAAGCTCAGCTAAGTTCTTAATAAGCAGCTTCAGAAAAACTTCATTTGTACAAATACAATGATACAAAAAGATCTATTTGTTTCAATTATAAACCGTAAACCATTTCGCATAGAATAATTAGGTATTGCATTTTACAATGCATTGTTATGTTTCCGAACCGCTTAAAAAGCCTCTAAACGCACGGAATTTATTGAGCAATCTCTCAATGTTTACTCATAATTGTGTAACCAGAAATATATGAAGTACGACAGCCGATTAAAAATAAATTATTAATTGATATTAATATAAACGTGTAACTTTAAGCTACTTTATGTCAAATAAAAGATCTAATAAATTAGCATAAAATCTAATTGTAATCAGTCTTAGCAGTGTGCTTTCTTTGTTACTTGCTTTTTGATAAAGTGTTTATCTGGCGGTGGACATTTTATGTTGTAGTTTGATACAAAAGCCCAGGCCTCCGACATTGTGTTCCCAGGCATCGGATGCAGTGAAATGGTTCCCTTAAAGATGCACAGTGGCTTCCCGTGGACGTAGTTGAAGAGAGGGTGATGGTGCCGCTGGATTCCCGCTTTCTCCGCACAAATACCAGTAACAAAGACGTCCTCCAGATGCACAAGCGATGTGGTCAGAGCTTCCTCGTACAGCCGCTGCACCACATCAATGGAGAGCAGATAGCCGGTTCCAGACAGATACACTGGGTACTTAAACCCCTCGAACATATATTGAGGCACATACCAGGGACTCTTAACATCGACGTCGACCTCCATGTTGCAGAACTTGTGGCCATACATCACTACTCCGCTGGCGTTAAAACGATTCCATGGCGACATCACTTTATAAGTGTTTTGAAAGTGATAGTCCACCGTATCTGTATACAAAGGGATTGTACCGCCGAGCAGAAAGTGCAGCAGATTGGGCACATTTATAAAGCTGTCATCGTCGCACTTGAGTATGAAGGCGGATGTACTCGAGCATCTTTGGCTTATGTACTTCAGAGCCATTACGGTCTTAAGGGTTAAGTTATTGTAGCTGTCCGCAAAGTTTTCCTGAAGAATATCGTTGTATTGATTCGCCTCTAAAGATAACTTTTCACATTCCCTCTGGGACTCAGTCCTAGCTCGTCCCACGATGAACAAAATCTGTACCTTGGCGGTCAATGATTTACCGAATCCACTCAGATACTCGGCGTACAGCCTCACGCGACTTGGCATTATAGGCAGGTATTTTCCTTTAAGGTGATAATGAAGTTTCTCAAATGCTTCATAGTTAAACTCTTTGGTATTTCCCCAGGTTTCCCGGATGATCTGCCGTTGAGCAAAGTGGTCCAAGCTGGAGCAAACGGCAATGATCAGGAAAGTTTTGCTCTTGCAGAAACCTTGGGGCTCTATAAGTGCTGTGTCTTTCTTCTGATCCAGATAATAGCTTATTTTCAGTGGTTTTTCGCGTTCCCAACCGGGCAGATCAGCTGTCCACAAAGTGAAAATTTAAAAGAAATTATAATTTTCCATCCTAATTTTCTTACCCTGTCTATCGTTATCCTCCATGTGTTTCATGAATTGATCCCGGTAGAAGAAAAATAGCACAAAAATAAGGACCAGGATTAATTTGTATCGGCGAAGTCGCAATGTCCTTGGAAGATGGATACGCAATCGTCGTAATGGCCTCATGAATTGAATCATATTTTTTTTTATTGGTTAAAAAAGAAAAATTAAAGTTGACACAATTGGAAAAAGATTCTAGTAATTTCTAAAAACCCTTTTGATAAATAATATATTTAATATTAAATGAAAAGTGTACTCTTGGAACTAAAAAAAGGGGATAATCTAACAACGTTCCCCCAGGGGAAGATTCGATTGGAAGTTTTTTTTTGGCGGAGGGCATTTGCTGCTATAGTTAGTAACCTGCTTCCAGGCGTCCCACATGATCCAGTCCTTGGCGCGGTGCATGGTGAAGCTCCCCTTGAGGGCGCACTGCTCATCCCACTCATACGGATATGTGGTCCTAAAGAGCGGGTGGTTGGTGCGCTTGATCCCAGCCTTTTCCGCACATAGTCCGGTGACGAACAGGTCCTCCAAGTGCATGAGCTTCGTGCTCAGAGAGGCTTTGTAGAGGCGCGGCACCACATCGATGGACAGCAAATAGCCGGATCCGCACAAATACTGTGGATACACTGCGCCCCGAAACAAGTAAGATGGCATGTACCATTTGTTGTACTTGTTGGTGATCGGTCGCACGTTGCAGTACTGGCGTCCGTACATCACCTCCCTGCGGGCCGTCAATCTTTTTCGTGCTGAAGTCACTCGGTAAGTTTTGAGATAATGGTAATTCGCAGTGACCTCGTTCACTGGAATAGTTCCCCCTAGGAGAAAGTGCAGCAAATTGGGCACATTTACAAAGGTGTCGTCGTCACATTTAAAAAAATACGCTGTTGAGTTCACACAGCTCTGGCTGATGTGCTTCAAAAGCATTATCGTCTTGATGGTAAGGTTGTTGTAGGTGTCCATGAAGTTCTCCTGGATGACATCATTATACTTTTCCGCCTCGCTAGCAACCGCCTCATTTTCCAGCAGGGAAGCCAAGTTTCTGCGGCCCAGAATGAAAACGATTCGAATGGAGGCCTTCAAGGAGTCACCCTGGCCACTCAGATACTCTGAATACAACTCCAGACGCTCTGGCAGCACGTCCAGGTATTTTCCCTTAAGGTGGCCATGGAGCTTCACAAAGGACGAGTAGTTAAAGTCGGTGGTGTTGCCCCAGAGCTTGCGGATGTTCTGTCGCCGCTCAAAGTGATGCACATAGGAGCAGACTGCGATGGTCAGGAAGGCCTTACTCTGACAAAAATGTCTCGGGACTACAATCGCTGTATCCTGACCTGGATCCAAATAATCAGCTATACTCCTGGGCGTTTCACGGCTCCATCCCGACAGAGAAGCTGTTAAAAGGGAATAATAAAAATATATTTTTATCCAAAAATATGGCTTATCTTACCATTCCGCTTGCTTGGATCCTCCTTGAAATTAAGTATCTCATAGACCAGATATAAAAAAAGCATGATGGCCGTGATATCTTTGTGCCTTCTGAAAAGCAGTCGCCAGATATTTGGCAGCAATACTCGTAGTCGCTGAAAAAGCTTAAGCTCCCTCAGAAACATAAAATGCATTTTTCAAGTAGAAAAAAATTCAGTTTAACAGCCTTTGAAAAGGCAATACTACAAAAATGCCGAGCCCTTTGAATTTATTCACCATATTTTTAATAAAACACAACTATTTATTTGGCAATTTGATTAAAGTAATATTTTGTCTTTATGTATCACATGGATTAAAATTTAATATAAGTTATTTTTTATTAATTTAAAGTTTTTGTAAATAAACTTAATTATAGGAAGAGCTGGCATACGTTTATATAAACAAAAGAAAGCCTTGAAAACATTAAACTGCAAATAAATAAAATAAACAAGTAACTAATTTTGAACATTTTTGCTAATAATACATATGTGATATCAGATCTTAGGTATGAAAAATAAATACTTACAGGTCTATCATAAATCTATTTGTTTGTTTAATTTCTAAAGTCCTGGGAATCAAATTTGTAGATATATCTGATATCTCGCTTGTGCTTTATTTTTAACATTGATATGGAGATTGGGGGTGCTTTACATTGAGAAATTTCAATACTTCTGACGTACATAATTATTTATATTAACACTGAAAGAAACTTTTTGTTCTTTTAAAAAAGACTAGTTAAGAATTTCGAGGTATACTATGAACTGGTCAACTATAAAAGCCAGGTGAATGAAACAACGCCTTCCTCTTTATTCTAAAAATTATAAAATATTGGTATTATGCGTTTAGAAATGAAAAATATAAAATTATTATTATCATGTTAATTAGGCAAAAGTTTGTTGTATTTTTAAATTTACGTTTAAAACAGAATGAAAGGGTAACAAGTTTAACTTTGGAAAAGTAAAAAGAAAATCTCTAAAAAATATATTTTTCAAGAACAACAACAATATTTTAAAAGTTCTTTGAAATACAAATTAAAGTATCATAAAGTTGGCTTGACGTTATTACTAATATACAATATGAGTGGTTATAATTCACGTTTGCCAAGTAATCATGTCAACTGATTACTTTTTCATCGAAATCGTTATCTTATCGAAAGCAGGTTGTCTACAAGATACAATTTTAGGAACTAAAAAGATATCTACCGAAGCAAGATAGCTCTAGTAATTGGAGCTCTCCAGTGAACATGAGGATCGGAAAATACCAGGATTCAGGGACATACCTTGAGTCCTAACAGTTCGACCGCTTGCGCAGTCGCGTTTGGCTAAAGAAGCGCCCTGGCGCTGGGCACTTTATGGAGTAGTCGGACACTTTGTTCCAGGCGTCTGCCATGCTGTCGTCCTTCATCTGGTGCTGGGTGATGCTGCCCTTAAAGGCACACAGCTGTTTAGAGTGGGCGAAGCTAATGAGTGGGTGGTGGTGGCGACTGATCTTGGCTCTTTGCGCACACAACCCAGTGATGTACAAGTCCTCCAGGTAGACCAGTGTCGTATTGCGCGAGGCCTCAAACAACCGCTGCACCACATCGATGGACATCAGATATCCCGCTCCGGAGAGATATTTGGGATACACCTTAGGCTTAAACATGTACGAGGGCATATACCACTTGCTGCTCACATCGTCGACTGGCACCACGTTGCAGAACTGGTGACCATACAACACCCCGCTACTAGCATTTAACCTGTTCTGTGGTGCAGTCACCATGTAGTTGGATCGGTCGTGGTATTCCAGTGTATCGTTGTACAGCGGTATAGTGCCTCCGAGAAGGAAGTGCAGAAGATTGGGCACATTTACAAAGGTATCATCGTCGCATTTGAGGAAAAAGGCTGAGCTGTTGGAGCAGCTCATGCTAATTTGCTTTAGAGCCATTACGGACTTAAGCGTTAGGTTGTTGTAGCTGTCCACAAAGTTCTCCTGAATGATGTCGTTGTACTGCTCCGCCTCACTGTGAATGCGCGCCGAGGTTTCGTTTCCCACCAGCTCTTCATTTCTCTGCCGTCCCACGATGAAGACAATGCGCACTGAGACGGTCATTGAGTCACCCACGCCCTGCAGGTAATCTCCGTACAGCTTCAGACGCTCTGGAAGCGGCGGCAGGTAGTGACCCTTCAGGTGACCGTGGAGCTTCACAAAGGCCGGGTAGTTAAACTCAGTGGTGTTGCCCCAGGTTTCGCGAATGGTCTGCCTCTGAATGAAGTTACCTAATCCCGTGCACACGGCGATTATCAGAAAGGTCTTGTTTTTGCAGAAATCCTTTGGAGCAATGAGAGCCGTATCGTGCCCGGGATTCAGGTAGTCGTCGATGCTGCGGGAGGTCTCCAGAGTCCAGTCGGGCAATCCAGCTGTGAAAAATAACAATAGATTTGGTTGAAAACACAATTGGGGATTAAATAAACCATTCTCCTACCACTACGCTTGTTCACATCCAAGTAGATGAGTGGCAGGTAGACCAGGAGCAGCACAAAGATGATGAAGGCACTCAGCGTGTAGCAGCCGAGGCGTCTCAGCATCCTGGGCAACGGCATGCGAGTGCGACGTTGTACCTTTCTCAGCTTGATTTTGGTCCGGCGTGCTTCGCTAGTGGACACAGTCGACTCCTCCTCGGATCCGGAGGCAGCTGCTACCGAGCTGCCGGAACTGTCCACCGCCAGCAGGGAGCACTGTTCCTCGACACTTGCGGGATTCCGTGTGTTGTTCATTTGACTGTTGATTCGCTAAAGTCAGCAGCTGGTCCTGTACGCGCATTTCAGTGCATGATTATATGTCATTTTTTCGGCCTGGAGTGGCTGATAAGGTTATCAGTATCAGAAAAGGGAGGTACAGTTATCCACAACTGTGATTCACATTTAATGAGTTTTACAAGAGCCGAAACAATTTAATAAAGAGTTATATCGTCAGATAGACAGAGTAAACTTGTTTGTCAGCTGATTACAAAATTGCCTCGTGAATATCGATGCGTTGGGCGCCCATCACTAGCCACGAATTATTTTGAGCTGAATTCGGTTAAATTCTTTGTTTCATTGAGCTATGTTTTGATATTCTTATGTAAACAAAATTAAAATAAAGAAAACAAGCATTATTTTCACATTTGAAAATTACTTTCAGATTTATAAGAACCATTTTAAAAACTATAACCTTGAAACGGTAGACTTAAAATAATTAGTAGATGTCTTTTTGAATATTATGTATATTGTATTAAGCAGAGGGTACTGTAATTTCAATCAAACGCAGTCAAAGAACCTTTTCGACCTTATAAAGTATATATTCTTGATAGCATCACCAGGAGAGTCGATCTAGTCATGTCCGTATATTCTTCTCTATGCAAACTAGCCTCAGTTGCTTGGAAAATACTTTCCCAAAAGTCTTCTTTCTATTCAAAGTTCAGATCGGATGACTATAGCTATATGATCCCGTAGGAACAATCGTTGTTTTTAGAATATGGTTATAGTCCGAGATATGAATTACGATTTCAGTTTTATAAAAATCAGACGACTATCATAGCTGCCAAAAGTACGACCAAAAAATAAATTGGAAAATACATATGTATGCATAGTATAAAAACCAAAATACGACCGTTTCATAGAATATCTTATATTTTTGCAAAAGCTGCAAGGGTATATATACCTCAGCTTGCCAAAGTTTGCTTCTTTGTTTTTAAATTGATAATTAATAATTTAAAAATAATGCTTACTACACAAAATCACCACAATTATTAATTCCAAAAAAATTACTAATTAAAACACCCTCAGATTTGTAGTGCTTAGTAATTGTCTATGTATATATATTTAATTAAAATGATGTATGTACAATGAATTCGAGAAAAGTACGCTCCCAGTCAAGTGTGTCAAAAATTGTTTGGGTTTGGCGCTTTGTGGAGGTCCTAATAACGATTTAGAATGAGCTGAAAGTCAGTGATTGTTCTTAGCCTAGGTAAAAATAAAACGGACTACACATAAACTCCGTCAGATTAAGATATAAAATATGCGAGAAGCCAGCCCTTAAGTGTTTAAAATTGTGACAATGATGACCTGGGTCCAGCCCTAGAAATCGGCGTCCAGGGTGAAGACGTTGTCCAGGCGGTTGCTGGCCACGCCCATACGCTGGTACTCGCCCACCTTCTTCTCGAAGAAGTTGGTCTTGCCGTCCAGGGAGATCATCTCCATGAAGTTGAACGGGTTCTTGGTGTTGTAGATCTTTCCAACGCCCAATTCCACCAGCAAACGGTCCGCCACGAACTCAATGTACTGCGACATGAGGTCGCAGTTCATGCCAATAAGGTTTACGGGCAGGGCATCGGTGAGGAACTCCTGCTCAATGGCCACCGCATCACGGATGATCTCGATGATGCGCTCGCGCCTGGGTCGCTGAACCAGATGCTGGAACATCAGCACGGCGAAGTCACAGTGCAATCCCTCGTCCCGGGAGATCAGTTCGTTGGAGAAGGTCAGGCCCGGCATCAAACCGCGTTTCTTTAGCCAGAAAATGGAGGCGAAACTGCCGCTGAAGAAGATGCCCTCCACGGCGGCAAAGGCGATGATGCGCTCCCCGAAATTGGCGGACTTGGAGGAGATCCAGGACAGGGCCCAGTCCGCCTTGCGCTTCACCGCTGGCATCGTCTCGATGGCGTTGAACAGATAGTCTCGCTGGTGCGGATCCCGGATGTAAGTGTCGATCAGCACGCTGTACATCTCCGAGTGCACGTTCTCCATGGCGATCTGGAATCCGTAGAAGCAGCGGGCCTCCGTGATCTGCACCTCCTGACTGAAGCGCTCCACGAGGTTCTCATTAACAATGCCATCGGAGGCGGCGAAGAAGGCCAGCACGTGCGAGATGAAGTGACGCTCATCGTCCTTGAGACGATGCCAGTCGGTCAAGTCCTTGGACAGGTCAACCTCCTCCACAGTCCAGAAAGAGGCCTCAGCCTAGAATCCAAAAAGAGGAAATTTATAAATCTCACTTCGATTATGTTTTATATGAATGTTTTAAATAACTACAGAAAAGTGTACAAATTGCTTTATTTCACTGTTTAAAATGTTATTTAAAACTACTAATTTAGTATCAATTAATTGGGCAATGGAAAATTTTAATCGCGTTACAAAAACCAGTTAAAGCTGACGTATATTTCCTTATGGTTTTTCTATTGTATGTATGTACACGTTATCTGTGCCTCATTTTCCCGCCAAAACGAAAGCGTGTGTTGACATTGGGTAAACCATGGTGCAGTGAATCATGTGCAGGGGAAGGGATGAGGGTTGGGACGGGGGTTGTTGAGTACAATTATCATAGTTTGATTCATGTAATCAAACACGTCGACTACGTGACCGGCTTTTGGCGCGCTTTATCTCGAATCGCCCGCCTTTCCATAGTTTTTGCCGCCGAAATATCGGATTTTCACCACCAACACAAATGGAAACCTTATGCTATATGGGTATACACACCTTCTTGTACATCTGCCAGATGTCGTGGTACTGGATGGGAAAGATGACGAAGCGTCGGGGATTCTCGCGCAGCAGGGGCTCCAGCGAGGGATCGAAGGGAGTTACAGACTTTTCGATAAGGGAATTTGCAGATTTTCCGACTCCGTTTTCCGTGGAGGACTCTTTGACCAGCTGGCCGTTCGCCTCGTGGCCAATGGACATTTTGCGAACGTTGCTGGAGCTCTCAGTCAGAATTTTCTTGCTGGGGCTCTGTTTACAAGGAAAACGAAAAAACATAAAATTCGCTGCGTAGTACTATTTCCCCTGGGAATCCACAAACACACATATATGTATATCGCCGTATTACTTCTATGTATAGCTGTGAACTTTAGGCCTTAACTCGCGTGTCAATTACCTTAAGCGAGAACTTCTCCATGTTGTCCGCAATGTTTTCTTTGGACGCCATTTGAGAGTTGTTTGTGATTGAATAAGTCTTAATGGGTTGCTTGTTTTCTGCACTAGTATATCCAATTAAATTCACTTGGAACGCGGTGTATCTTCAGCGTAGGGTTTGAAATTTCAATGGCAAATGATCTGGGAAATGTTGCTTCAGAGGTTTATATGCCGGGCGGCAAACTGTTTCGATTTACCGCCTTTTTTGGTGATGGGAAAACTCGAGTGGAAAACTGCAGGGCTGTCGAGTGTTTCAAGTATCGTACAAAATTAGAAAAAATATAATGCAAGGATATATACATTTGAGAAAATACATATTTAATATTACTCCCTATTATTTATTATCTATTATAAAAAAATATTATTTTGCTTGAGAACTGTGATCCTAAATTTAAGTTTAGGATCGTAGCCATATTAGTTACAACAAATTACATTGTGTTGATAATGCTTTCGTTTCCGTATTTATTGGTGACTTTCATTATATTAAAAATAAAATTAATAATAATTAATTTTGTTAATAAAATTTTCCAAGCATTCTGGCAGCCCTAGACTATTTGAGAAATCAACAGCTGATTAAATGCCACTCAATTACGAAACTCTTGAGTGAAACGATTTCAGCCCTTTTTTTAGCACCAGACAACATTAAGTGGAGCAATATTAAACTTAAAATGTTTAACAACATAGCTCCTTAATTCATTAATATTTTTAGGTTCTTTGAATAATTGAGAAATGCAACAGGTGGAATAACTTTGAGTGAATTTAATTACAGCCCTTCGTGTTATTAACATAGTAATAACAGTAAAGCTGACTGTTAGAGGAATTTCACTTGATTGTTATCGATAGGCGATTATTATATGTAAATTTCCCGGCTAAAACATTAGTAAACAAAACATTTTAATGAAAAATGCATGATTTTACAATATAAACAATGGAAGCCTCATCTTTGGAACATCACAATCGCCTGGAATACTGCGTTACAAGATTACCATATCGCCAGGGTCGGGAATTAAAAGCTGTAAAGGTTAGTTTTTGTATATCTATGTCACACAAGTTATATCGAATAATTCATATCCTTTTTTCAGGTTTATACAGTGGCTAGTGAGTCCCGGCACTTGCTTATTTTCGGCGTGCCTAAAATAAACCTGCAAGCTGATCTAAAGACTAAACTACAGGGTTTTGGAAAACTTCAATCTTGCATTAGCATAACTTCAGAGATGGCTTCTAAAAGTAAGTTGAATCCTGGCCAGGATATTAGATATAACTTTGAACTAATTCTAGTGGAGCTAGAAGCCTTTACGGATGTGTTTGCCGTCAAATTTGAACGTCTGGAGGTGGCCAGAAGAGTCAAAAAGATGCTCGATGCCCGTCAGTTCTATGGCGGCATCTTACACATATCCTATGCTCCAGAGCGGGAATCCATTGAAGAGCTTCGGGAGAAAATGCTCCAGCGCCGACAGGAGGTGGCCCTCCGCATCCGGCGAAACCAGAGAGACGAACCTCCAGTGCCGAAAAAGAGCCGTGAGGCCAAATGATTCACGATGTTAACGCTTTATTCAACTTAACTCATTGCAATGAACTTCTAAGGCAGAACGATGAAAGAATTATCGTCACATCCAGAGTGTTAGTTGCTACCACTCCGAAACCTCAACTGCTCGTCCGTTCACTTGGCCATTCCCCCATCCTCGAGTACTATTTCTGCTTCGTTCGGCGCAGGTCGTGGTAGTAGTTCAGCAGGCCAATGCGCTTCGCCCAAATCTGTGCTCCATATGTGGCCCAAAAGCTGTGAAATACAGGATAATTAATAAGAGAAACAGGAAAGAAAAGACCTCCAACTCACATGCCAAACATGGCGCCACCCAAATGCGCCGCATGATCGAAGAACTTCCAGCCCAGCACGACGCCGGCAAAGTCGATGCCCATGAGCACTTTGATGCCGGCTCCGGCGGAGAATGTCAACGCTGGCAGGAACAGAATGCTAAGCTGGGTATCCGGATACTGGGTACACACATATGCCAGCAGTGTCATTATGGCTCCCGACTGAAAGACAGCTTTAAGTTTACATTGATTGACTTTGGTTTGGGTTTTCTTACCGCTCCCAGGGACATCCCTGCCTGACTCGTACCCGCTTTGTAGAGCACGCTCATCAGGCTGGAGAAGACGCCGGCGCTGAGGTAGACCGCCAGGAACTGCTCTTTGCCCAGCGACAGGACCGCTGCGTTGGCAAAGCTGTGCATTACGTACATATTGGCGAATATGTGCATGGCCGAGTAATGGCTGAAGGTGGACAGGAACATAGGCCAGCAGACGACTCCTGCAAAGGGAAAATTAAAGACGGTTAGTCAAAGCTATGTTAAAAAAAAGAACATTTCATTTATAAAACCAAGTGCCTCAATGTTTATTTTTTTATTACCCTAAGGAAAAATTATTTTTAAAGATAGTTTACGTAAACTCTCCACAAGTAATCAAATTGAATTTATGTAATTGGCTAAGAAAATCAATCACGATTGAATCAAAATCATTTTAATAATTAAATAAATGAGTATATTATCTTAAGAAAGAAAGATTTAGCAAAGTTTTCATTACTATTCCTTTGTGGTTTATAAGATGATGAAATTAGACTTGGAATTCTGCCCATAATTTCCAATGTTCTCTCGTTTCGATATTACTTCTCTGACAGTATGCATATAGTGTCTGTTCCCCTTTCGATTTTAACACTTACGCGCCGCAGGATTGGATGTGAAGTAGGTCATCATGGTGGATCTCAGGGCGGGCACGCGCCACATGGCGAAGGCCAGCATATTGCAGAGAAAGATGGGAGCGAACATCTTGTCACCGGGCGTCAGTGAGTCCCATTGCCGTCGGATGTCCTGCTTCAGCTGTGCCCAGTAGTCCCGATCCGCTAAGGAGCGACTCTGCCACCAGCCGAATCTCGCCTGGCGCGCCTTTTCCAGGATAAGACTGCGTGTGTTCTCGTACTCCAGGATGGTGGCTCCCGCAAAGCAGCCCACCGTAAACTAGAGGATGGAATTAAACATACATATATAATTCCTGTTAAATTCCTGACCACTACCCAATCTTACTGCTCCCGTAAAGGCCACCGCCTTGATCACATTGTTCACCGGCACTGAGGTGTTTTGCTCCGCCGCCACAGGTTCTCCAGTCGCCGGCTTCAGGTTGCTGCTCTGCTTCCGGTTGCTGTGGAACTGCCGGAAGGATCGGGCCGCCGGATGCCCTGAGTTTATCCGCAGGATCGGCACATTGGCATGACATCTGTGGCTGCAAGTTTATGTTGGGTTACTCCGGATACAAAACTCCGATGTCGCCTGCTTACTTACGCCACCTGGGGCAGCCAACTCCGGCAGAGCGCTCGACTCATGAGCATGGTAGCACGGATCTGGGCCAATTTAGCATGAAATATACGAAATTTGTTTCTATTTTGCTTCGTGGAGAAGGGCCCGGAAAATTTTAGGTGTGGCCAGAGTGTGCAAAACCAAAAGAGCTTCAGAATCTTGTTTAGCAGTGCGGACACACCGAGTCCAAAGTAGAATATGGGAACTTATATATTCTATAAATTAAAAATTAAGTAACAAACAATAAATTAATTATTGTTCTCTTAACAAAAACGACATTTTATACAATAGCTTAATATTTCTTTAAAATATTTTAATAGGTTTTTGATAGAAACAGAAATGTCATACAAAATAAAAGCCACAGCAATATAACTAGTCAAAATATAATTTCAGTGAAATTTATTTTTTTTTAAAGGTTGCTAGTTATCTTGAAATTAGTTATCGTATCAAGTCTTTTTGTCTAGAAAAATAGGTTACATTTTTGTTATCTTCTTTATTTTCTTACCATGATGTAAAGATTAAGGTGCACAATTTTGTATTCATTTAATAAGTCCGGCTTAAATTATCAATAAAAAAGCGGACAACCCATTACGCTTTCGTAATTAAATGTTCATAATATTTATTTGTATTATTTTGACTAGAGTTATTTTGCTTAATAATAATAGCCAAAAAATAAGATAATTAGAAAATATGCCTATTCCACCGTTTCAAAGCTAATAACCCGTCGTTACCTTGATCCTATTATGGAACAGTTTATCAGTGGCATTTTAAACTTAGCCGCCCACGGTCACACTGTCCATTGACAATATTAGCGTTCCAAAAAAAAAACAACAACAAAACACTGCTTGTTTCCACGGCTATCGAGCTTAAACACAAAATAGCACGTGTCCGCGGCCACCGGGGACACAAAATATGTCCAACGGGCGCTACGGAAGATTCGGAGCACTCATCGGCGTCGCCTGCGTGAGCAGCACCCACTGCCGGTTTCTGGTGAGAAGGTCCAAAAGCCGAAAAACGCCCGCTGACTCAGATTCTATTTCCATAGATTTACTCAACCAAAAATGCGGAGGTTCTGGCCTACCATGAGCTCAAGCTGCGCCAGATTGTCCACCAGTCGGGATGGATGGAGTACGATCCATCGGAGATATGGAAGAACACGCAGGAGTGCATTGAGGTGGCCTATCTGCAGGTTATATCATCACCCGGCAACTAATCTGTGTACTATTGCAGGTCGCCTACAAGAACCTGGTGATACTGGAAATCAACCCGCATGATATCATCGCAATGGGAATCGTAAATCAGAGGGGCACATCGGTGCTGTGGAACAAGCAGACGGGTCAGCCCCTGCACAATGCCATCGGCTGGTCCGATTGCAGGAGCACCCCGATCCTGAAGAACCTGCTCCACAATGTCCGGCACAATGTGGACTACGTGCGGTACCGTAGTGGTCTGCCCCTGAGCAGCTGCTTTAGTGCTCTGAAGATTCGCTGGCTGATGGATCACATTCCATCTGTCGCCACTGCCATTGAAGAGAACAAGGTCCTTTTTGGCACCCTTGACTCCTGGCTGCTGTGGAACCTCACTGGCGGCGTGGAAACGGGTGTGCACTCCACGGACCTCACCAATGCCCACTACACCTCCCTTATGAACTTATCCACGCAACAGTGGGATCCCAAGCTCTGCCAGTTTTATAAGCTGCCCATGAACATACTGCCCCGTATACGTTCCAATTCCGAGATATTCGGATATGTGCTGGAGGGTCCTTTGCTGGGCATCCCCATTGCGGGCATGATGGGAGAGCAGCCCGCCAGTTTGCTGGGACAGCTGTGCGTGAAAGCCGGACAGAATGTGTGCACCCTGGACGACAGTTGCTTCGTGCTGCTGAACACGGCCAAGGAGAAATTGGACTCGGCCAACGGACTGATCACGGGCATAGCGCACAAGCTGGGCGAGAAGGAGGCAACCAACTACACGCTCGAGGGAGCCATCTCCAATGCTGGATCCACGGTGACCTGGTTGCGGGAGAAGCTGCAGATCAACACTGAGATTAATTCCAACGACAATGTGGTGGAGTCCCTGAACACATTCATAGGCGAGAACTCGATGATCTCCTCCTCCTGTTCGTCGTCCATGCTAAATGCCGAGTGTGGACTGGCGGCCAAGCGGTCGGAGATCACGTTTGTGCCGGCCTTTCATGGCATGTATGCTCCCTATTGGCGACACGATGCCAGGGGCATTATTTTGGGACTCACCAGCCAGACCTCGGCGGAGAACATTACACAAGCGGCGTACGAGGCGACTGGCTTCCAGATCTTTGAAGTTCTACAGGCCTTCAAGCGGGACACGCCCAACTGGGACCGCTCCTGCATGCAGCCTGTGCTCACGTTTGGCGGCGATTACGCCGAAAACTCGCATTTGGTGCAGTTCATCGCGGACATTATTGGCTACATGCTGGAGCGGCCACAGACCACTTCGCCTGCAGGTTTGGGCGTTATGATAGCCGCGGGCGTGACGATGAAAGTGGTGTCCCTGCAGTACGCCGTGAAAATGTACGCCCCGCCCACGGATGTCTTTTCGCCCACCACAACAAAAAATCGTAAGTAACAAAACTAAAAAACGAATTGCCTAAGAAACCCTATATTTGTCGATAAGGTAAGGGGCATTCGTATTTACGTAAATCATTTGTTTTTAATGTTTATTTAATATGTTTTATTCCCTTTTCAGGTCGAGAGCTGCTCTACAGGCGCTGGGATTATGCGGTGAAGAGGTGTCTGCACTGGAACAACTACGAAACCTACGAGGCCGATGTCGAGCTGTTTGCCCAAAGAGAACTTGATCCCAATTTACCCGTTCGACGTTCTATACCCGGTAGTTTGTTCCTGACCTCGTCGTTTGCCCTAATACTACTGGCCAACTATCTGAAGAACAATCCCCTGAATTAGTATCAGTCGAGTTAGGGAACAGGCGCAGTTCAATCTAGTCAACTGAACACGTTTAACTGTGTGCATTAAAATTTATTGTTTAGTTTAGCATGTAATCTTATATAGTTGCTTTGATATGTATATACAATCCCTTTAGTTTTTTTCGCCCGAGTTGTAGATCAAAATATTTGTGATTCACCTATATACACCACTATAGATATACATTTTTTTCTTAAGATCATTGTGTTCTGCCTTTGTTGAACATTCACTTTAAGCTGTGCGTATTTATTTCAAAACCCAAAGACAATGGTTAAAGCTGTTAAGAGATGAGCACAAAAAGTCCACATCCTGAATGCGTTGTAGAAAGTTAATCTGAGTAAACCAGGAGAACGTGAAAGCAAACTGTTGAGATTGTGTTTTACAAGTGGAAAAAGCGGAGCACAGTGTTTGCAAGCTGAAATCCATTTGCCAGTTAATTAGCTGGCTGGTCTCCTCCACGAAGAGGAGCATTCATCACCTGCCCCCGGCTGCTGCTCACCACATTGAATGCAGCTTAAGTTATTGCGCTTATTGTTGACACGCGAATTGTTGAAGGAGCAGCTGTGCCCGTGCATTCCAGCCTGCAGGCAATGTGCACTTGAACGCGCTTCTCCCGGAACTGGAGGAGGAGTACGATGGAGGCCAGTGGAGGAGCACCCTTGGCTGTTGTCTCTGCTGCACTTCGTTGTCGTCCAGCCAAGGGAGTCGAGTAGACGAGGCACTCGTTCAAATGAGTTTTTATGCGCGAGCGTTTGCCAAATGCCCTACGGAAAAACGAGTGAGGCTTATAATTTCCCATTGCGAGCTGTGGATAAATGTTTATAACTATTTAGTTAAGAAAACTCATGTATACTATTATCAAGAAACTTTATTTATTTATTGAATGCAGGGATTGTCTTTCGCGATAGCAATAAATAAGACAAGGATTAAACCTTTGCCTATAAACAGAGGGCACAATACATCGAACTATATTTAATTACTAGATGTTCTTGTAATCTCTATGTTGATAAAAAAATATATAAATTTAAAGTATTAAATGTAATAATGAATGTAAATTATTGTTGTTTTTAAATTATGCACGTTTTGCTTTTAATTAGACAATTGTTTAATATATTTTGAATTTTTCAATGTGTATGAAATAAAAGTTTTATGAATTACCTGAATTAAATGTCAATACTAGATATCAATCGAATTTGTAATTCAGTAACATAATATAAACTGCCGTCATAAAGCTAGTATTATTAATGTTAATAATACAAATGTATCAACTTGTGAAAAATATCCAAATTTCAAATATATGAATGTAAAATTAATGATTTTTTATTTAAGAGTCCTGGAACTCTGTACTTTGTTTATAATTTATATAAGTATACCAGCTAGAAAACTTTAAGACAGGCAAGTCTCTGTTTTTTGCTCTTAAATCCTTGTTAACCACTGGAGCTCATTCGATCTGTCGGATATAGCCATCCCATTAATCTCAGTCACATATTCCTGTCCGCAGTCTGCAGAATTGGTTTGCATTTGAAGACAAAAACGTCGACGGAGCGCAGTAAAATGTGAAATTTGTGCAAACAGTGAGACAGTTTCCCCAACAAATCTCGCCCGGAGGCGGGGGGCGTGGAGGTGTGGCCGAACCCCAAGACGACGCAAGTAAACTTTGCACGTAGTCAATTTAAATAAATTAACACGCTGTTGTGTGTATGTGTGTGTGTGGGGTAGATAAGGATAAGGAGGGGGTGGACTCCTTCCGATTCCAGGACAAATGGGTTATTCCACCGTGTCCCACTGTGCTGCAATATGCCAAAATACGAAGCATTTGACATGCCCACGTAGCCAGCACGTTATTCCTGGTCAGGAGGGGGGAACCCTCGGTATCAATGTCCTTGTCCTTGTCCTGGCAGGGTGGGTTTCCCCGATTCCCCCCTCCATTTCGGGTGCAATGATCCTGGGTGGGTGCTTTTTGGCCGTGGCTGTTCTGTGCGACTGCCACAACGCATAAATCTTGAACTTTATGGCATCAATAAATGTCGGGGCGAAGTAATGATTTCGTCAAGTCCTCTGCCATTGTGCAGTGGCTCACACCGAGAAATCCTCCCCTCGTCGTTTGTTGCATTCAATGGGGGTGGAATCGGGCTGCCAGGGATCTATATAACTGGGTAGATCCTTGATGGCACCAATCAAGCTTCGAAGCTTAAGCCAGCTCCACACAGAGAAAAAGAAATGATACTTTTTAATAGGCTTACCATAATAATATATAAATTTTAAAAAAGAGTGTATAACAATAACAGCATTACTATAATTTTCTTGGTGTAAAAGGTCCTTAAACTCCATATATTGTAATATAATGTTAAGTGATTATGGCATAATATATGCCAACAATTTCTCAAATTCTCTTATTCAATCTTTAAATTGTTAAAATTATTTTGATTTAGTTTAAACAAAAACCTTTTATGATACAACATTTAGAGATAATATTTATTTATATTGTGCTGTTAGTATTATTTTTCTATTTATAGATAGTTTCGATTTTCTATTTCATTTACATTTTATATTTGATTTGTTTGCCTGTAGGGGTTCGTTCACCTCCCAAACCTCAAAAATAATTTGTGGGCGTGTTGACGCCCCACAAAAGCAGCTAGCTGAAAGCGACTGAAAGGCTTCACACATTCGGCGTACAATTTATTTATTGGGCGAAATTTGCCAGTAACTTTATGGCTGGAGCCCATCTGCATAAGCGCCCGGAAAAGGAGGAAGCTCGAGGAGCAGGCTGGAAGCAGGAAAAGGAGCTGGAAAAGGAGCTCCTGATACTGACAGAAAGTTTTTACGCACTTTTTTTACGAGCAAAAAGCAAACCCACCATCCAGCGAAAACCCCTCACTTCGCATGGCAGGCCGTCATAAAAATGTCGTAAATTCGCCAAAGCGAAAGTTTTCCAGCCGAGAACTGGGCTCAGAGCCTGGCTGTTCGGTGCCATCGTAAAAACCTTAATTAATTTTCTAATCAACATTTTGCCTGCATGTAAATCGTCTGATTTTCCGAGTCCATTTCGAGCCCGCTTATGTGTAGCATAATGCCAGGCGCTCCTCCCACAACGCCGAAATGCGACAATTTCAGTACTTTCAGCACCAGAGCCAGAGTTGGTAAGCCTTCAGCTCCATTAGCTGTTTGGGCTGCTCGGTTAGTCAGCTGCGATATGTCAAAGTAAACGGCTATAAAGTCTGGAACTACAGGGGGTGGGCGGGGCTACCAAACTGGCGCCAGTAGTCAAAACTTGCGTGCTCTGCGTTTGGTTGATTCTGGGCATTGTTTTGGTGGTGTTTACCCAGTTTGTTAGTCGGCTCTTGTTTTGCTAGTTTGTGCACTGCAAAAAAAATGATCCATTATATACAAAATGAATGCAAGGAAGTATGGCTTATCGGAAGTTCCATTCCCATTTGCACAATACTTTCTTAATTATCAAATTAAACAAAGATATGCTCGGAAATTAAAAATAAACAAAGGTAGACTTTAACTTTCATGGACTATCAATTAAAAATCTCAGGAGGTATTAGATTATAATAATAATTATTATGGATTATAGATTAAGGGTTTTATGGTTATACTTCTACTATTAGATCTAAATAAGTATTTATGTTAGTTTTTTTCTTATGTCATATTTATTTTTATGTATTTATCTCGCGTCATATATGGATATACCGAACAAGAATAACAAAATAATACTGATATTTGTTGTCATATTCGTCCGGCAAATTCAAATAGTGTATATCACAAATCCAGTCTTTTGGGTTACAAAATCAGCTATTGGCGTGGCACCAATTGCATATAGAGTCCAGATTTTGGAGTCAGGCTAAAGCTGCGGGCCTCCTCCCACATATCCTTGAGGGTCCTGGGAGAAGCTTCTACTCGGTAATTAAGCAGCAGGTGGTACAACATGCCCTTCACCTGCATCTGGGCAAATCGGCTGGCTGTGGATTGATTAATATTTATTATTAATTATTTATTTTCTAGGGATATTTATGAGATTTCCTTACCTATGCAGCTTCGAGGTCCAGCACCAAAGGGTATATAGGTAAATGGCAAGATTTCAGCCTTTCGCTCCTCGCTAAAACGCTCGGGATCATATTTTCTGGGTTCGGGGAAGTAGCGATCATCCCCATGGAGTCCGGCTATAGGAATGGTAACCAGGTCACCAGCCTTGAAGTCGAAGATCCTAGTGCCATCCGCATCAGTAAGGGTGTAGGCCTTGGAGCAAACACGATCTATGGAAGGGGAGAGGGTCCACTTCCTCAGTGTCTCAGAGATTACCATGTCCATATAGGTCATCTTCTGTACAGCATCGTAAGTAAGAGAGCCACCATTCAGGGACTCCTGCGTTTCCAAGATCTCCTGGTACAAACGTTCCTGGATTTCGGGATTGTGCAGCAGTTCGTAGGCCGTAATGCAGATCAGGTTGGAATTGTTGTCGAAGGCGGCGAAGAAGAAGATGAAGCACTGGGCCACTATCTCGTCATCCGTCCAGTTCTGCTTGGCCTCCTTCTTGGCCTCCATCATCAGCTGGATCATATCCGGCCGGGTAATGCCCTGTTGCTCCCGCAACTTCATGGCATCGACCACCAGGCTAACGAAATAATCAACTTTCTTGCCATCGAAGACTTTCATATTGAAGAACTGAGGAAATACCGGAGATTTAAAAGGATTGCTTAAGAGCATTTTAAAAGCAAGACTTACAGTAAAAAGTTTAGGCATCATTGCGGACAGCGTAAATTTGAAGAACTGAAGTGCCGTGGAGAAGATCAGCGACTGACCCACCGAATAGAATTCATTTTCCGGATTCTCGAAGGAGTTCACCTTCAATCCAAAAGCGGTGGTGGCTATCACATCACTGGAGAGCTTATTGAAGAGTATCTTCATGTCCACTTCAAGGCCTTTTTTGGAGGCGGGATTATCCGATAACTTGTCCACATGCTGGAGACATTCCGAGAAACTATCATTCATCAAAGCGAACATGCTGCGCATTTTGGCAGACGTGAACACCGGAGTCAGGGTGTTCCTCATGTTCTTCCATCGCTGATCCTTCATCACATTGATCATATCGTTCAGCAGACGCTCATTGGTGGTGATCAACAGCTGGTGGTTGGGGAAGTAGTCAAAGTCCTTGACGCAGACCTTCTTGATTAACTCGGGATCGTTTATCTGAACCATCGGCTTGCGCAGATTGTAGAAGCCAACCACTTTGCTATTTGAATAAAATAAATTAATATCAATGTTAGATATAAGATTAGATTATATTATCAATTGTATTATTTCAAGTACATCTAACATGTTTGCCTATAACATATCAAGTGGATATTGATTATTTACTTAGTGGAACAGCATATGGTAAGAATTTTTTCAAATATAAATACAGATTCAATCGATCACTATGGAATATAAACTTACTGCTGACGCGATCGCAGGTAAAACTCGGTGAGTTGTTTGTGTAAAGAGATTCGTTGGAGTGATGAGGCGGCCACATTTCCGAAGAATGGCCAGGGCTTTTCGTAGGGCAGTTTCCGTGTCTCAAAAGTCTTGAAAGTGCCGATGGACCACTTGTAGATGAGCAGAACAAAGCCCAAGAGGGCCAGAAAGATTTCAAGGCAAGCCATGTTGAATATTTTGGGGTAGGTTATAGCACTTTGTTGACTGATAGTCTAATTAGAACTGAATTCCTGCACTGACCGGCATGCCAATTTATACCCGGCGTAATCGAACACACGAATGCTTATCAGTTGCAATTGAGGAATGAGGTATCGTCACTCAAGTGGCTTAGCACCACAAGCTATTCGATCGATATAGCTTTCTTCGAGTGCTTTGTGGGTTTTCACAACTCGGGAGCAGAGCTATTTCTGGCTTTTGTTGGGGAATTTGTTGTAAAGCATTAAAGCATTAATGTATTTCATGATTTTGGTAACAAGATCAAAACTTTTTGAGTAAATTTCGTCGCCTTTAAAGCTTTTTGATAAGTGTGCTTTTTTTCACTCGTAAAAAATATCACTCAATAATTCTTTACCTTTTTGTATAGTTAGGTTACAAGAATTTGTATTTTTACATAATTTACTTGAGTGACACATACCTTATAAATATTTGTTATTTTTCAAAAAATTTCCAAAAATATTTGTATCTATCTTAAAAGGTGATATAAATGATTAAATCGTAGTTTTTTTTATACTGCTGAAATAATTTATCCTTTTTTATTTTTGTCTGTCTTAAGATTATCATAAAATTATTATTTTTGAGTATCTTAATTAAAATACAATTAAAGTGTATTGTTTAGACAACATTAAACTTATAATACTAAGAACTTTTTGCTGTGTGCAATCAGCAGTGAGAGATTAGTAAGGATAGCTTTCTGGGGGAGAGTCCTGGAATTACCCCCAACCCAATGCCGAATATCACTCATTCGCCCCGTCAGCAGCAGCCGCAGCAGCACTGCCCTTGCCAATTAAGTGCGGAATTTCGGTTTATTTTTCTTGTGCAGAACTGCATGGCACAGCGTAAATTAATTTAAATATTTAAAGAGTTTAATTATTTTTTAACTGCCCAACAAGGACAGGCGCAGACAGGGTGGTTAAAATGGGGAAGGAGGAGGAGCTGTGGCCAAGTGCCATGATCCGGGGCCATAACTGCATGGCAACCTGCGAGGACGACGACAACGGGCAAACAGCCAAGCGTAAACTTAACTGACAAGTGGAGACTTAACTTCCCATAACAAATTGCATTCCAATTGCATGTCGGGAACGCACACACGCCCCCCAGATTTGTCCACCTCCTGGAGGCCGTGGGGCATAAACAAACACACACAAACACACACACGGAGTCGCATTCACTTACTGTTCTCCTGTTCCTCCTGCTCCTGATCCTGCTCCTGCAGGACTTTCCCGTCGTCATTGCTGTTAATTTAAATTGCTTTAAAAAAAAGCACCTGAATGGGGGAAAATGAGAACAGAAACGAGTTCCATTCAGGCCAAATGGCAACAGGAGCAGCTCCTGGCTGGCAGTTTCCTCCGGGAACCTCTCGAGTTCCCAGCGCGGAGATGCCATGCACGAAATAATCCTAAAGGGTGTGAAAAAGTATGAATGCAGCCAAGAATGTGCACACCGGCTGGATGGGTGTATGGATGGATGGGTGGATGGGTGGTGGGTGGATGGCTGACTGTGGAGAACGCGAGAAATGAGCTAGCTCGCTGTGAAAGGAAAACAAAATTATGCAACTTGAAAATGGGGGACAGACAGACATGGAATCCCCCAACCACTCATATACAATCCCTGCTCCTTGGCTGCTCCTCAGTTGCCATCTCAGATGCAGCGTTCTGTTTTTGTTGCATGAGTGAAGGCTGCTCCGGATTCCAGTTCCACCTCCGCCTTCACTTTGCTGCCACTCCTGTGGTTTGGGGCACACCACTCGCCCACGAGAGCGTCTCGTCGAATGCGCTGAGAAAAATTGTTTAATGGCTTCATTAACATATTCTCAATTAAATTTATTGTTGAAAAGGAATTAGATAATTGAAGGAAGTCTTATTTAAGGGCTTAACAAATATAAGCCACATTTTATTAAATATATATCACATTTGAATAACAAATTTTAATATTTTTTAACCAAGAATGTTGAAATACAGGAATTAGTTCAGATATTTAAGAGAATAACATAAATATTTTAAATTTAAACACATTCAATTTCATAGAATTAATGTGAATAAGGATTAATAATAAACATATCATTTTAGGATTATAATAAAGAAATTACGGAAATGGTTTTGTTTAATTTTTGTTTCAAATTTTATAGTTCTCAATTAAAAAACGAATTTGTAAATTCACCAGAATATTTCATTTAGTCTATCTTCATTTGTATTTTAAAATATTCTTTCATTTAATGAATGAGCTCTTAAATCTGCCTCTTATTCTACAGATAAATAAATTCTTTTAAAGTATAGTATTGTATTGTATTGTATTGTTTGTGCCGAACCAAACTTAAGTCACCGATTTTCCTTTGAGTGCACGTTCTCATTCGGTCCTTCTCTCCAGAAGTGAAATGTTTTTGGTTGCAGTTTCTACTTTGCATTCAATTAAATCCGGACTCGAAGTAATTGCCAAGTAAATACGAAGAGCAAACCGAGACGGGAGTCGACTATAAAAATGCTTGACAAGATAACTTTGCAGGAATTTCGGAGCTGGAAAATAAGGGAAAAACTGTGGAGCGAGGCGCCGCATTTATATTATTGATAAAATTTGCTAAGCGACAACTTTTTGGCGACCAAAGTTCGTGCGGGTTGTGTGTGTCAACCCTTTGGCTCCTATTGAACTCATCCTTTTGCCCCGTTTTACCAGTTTATTAAAATTCAGGACGAGCAGCGGCAGCCGCAGAAAGAAAATTCCCAGAAATTGTATTACCAAAAATATTAAAAAGGGGAGTGGACTGGGGGATAAATAAGAAAGTTGAGATAGAAACCTTGGAGGATGCGCCTGCCACATGTGTCGCCTTTAGGGGCCAATCGATGGCGGATTGGATGGAAAAGGCAGCTGAGCCCGGCGGGTGCCACCTCCTCATCTCCTCCCGATCCCAGAAATCCTGTCGCACTGCGGTTCAATTCAATGATTTGTGGCCCTGGTTGCGTCTTAATTTATCCAGCAGCTTGCTCAGCTCACACAAGACAATCGCCGCCTAATGGAGTGGGTTTCGGAAAGTTTTTAAAATACTTTTCAGTCGGTCCAGAAGTTTTTGGCCAAAATAATTTGTATGCGGTGGCGAGCGTACAAGGAAAGTTTCCACCAGCGGGGAAAATAGTTGGGAAAAGTCTTTCGCCTTGTTAAAAAATAAAAATAGAGACCAAAGGGGGATATGTACGACTACAAGTTAAGGCTACTTATTAAAATCTCCCCTTGGCCCATTGAGCAGTACAAGCACTTGGCATTTCTTTGAGCACATGTGAGCTTCCTTTTCGCCTTTTTTTTTGGCTGAACACTCGAGTTGCATTGTCCTTTTGTTAGGATGGCTGGTCGTTTCTCGAAAACGAGTGGATACCATGGCACAAGGACTTTCCTGGCTGCCTGCTGGAATGTGTTGACATAGCGCTAAATTTTTCAGTTACTTTTGTTTGCCCTTCTGCTAGACTTTCTCCTACTTTCCGGCTGCCTGTGAGTGTGTAGTTAAAGTTTTCCACTCTCTCCTCGGCATATTTGCTCAGGGCCAAAGGGCAAAAGTCCGTTAAATGCTCAGGCCAAATATATGGGGGCGTTAGACTGTGAAAAAGGATTTGCGGCTAATCAAACAATATGAATAAGGCAGTAAGAAGTTACGGCTCTAAATGGTGATCTTTAATTTGCTTATGGAATTTCTTAGGAAATTAGTTTTTGAGGGGAATCAATGACTTTTCTTTAAACTAAATTCTCAATTTATTATTAAATATTTTCGCTAGCAAACTAAATACGACGTCAATTTGTAAGCTTGATTTTTTATTGTTGATTGAAAAATGTATTGTTTCCCTATCAAAAACTATAGTGGATTTTTATCGTTAAGTCTTAACAACATTATACCATTATTAAATTGTTTTCTATCTGATATTAAGAGTTTTTAAAGGCAAATTCTAGGCCAATTTTATTTAGTAATTTAGTAACAATTAGTTTATCAAATGTATGAAACCAACTGAAAGGGTGTAAAAAGTATATACTCCTCTTGGAAATTCCATTTTACAACAAAGAGAAACTATTACGTTTTTACTGGGAAAGGTCTTTTAAACCTTTAGTGATTTGCCAAGGCTTTAATCTACTTATGACCTTGACTTTGTATACGAGTTTCTTAAATAGTATTTGCTGGAGATTATCTTCACTTATTGCAGATATTCGCTTCCCATCCCAAGACCCTTCATTTCACAGTTTGCAGTTACCCAACGTCCCATTACCTGTTTTGTATGTTTATACTCCGCCCACCTAATTCAACTTAAATGCCCCGTGGAAAAGAAAAGTTAGTCTTCAGTTTTCCTTGTGTTTTTCCACCTCTATCTCTACCCCCTCTTCACCCGCCCACCATCAACTTTGGCCATGTCTCAGCCCACTAACCTTGCTCATTTACCGCTAATTCTCACAATGCTGCAATCTCGTTTTGGCCAAAAAACAAGAGGAGTCGGAGCTAATGCCGCTTAACCGTTATGGCCATAAAAAGGAGATTCCGAAACTTAACGCAAAGCGACTCAATAAGCGATGGGGAATATCACCTGAGCACAAGGTTTGCCTGCCAACTCTTTCCCTTAAAAAGTCAGAGCATCAGCCGCAAAATCCCCCAATGGACTGGTGATTCCGACTCCATTGAGGCGTAAGACTCCCGCACAAACTCCATTCCATTCCATTCCAAATCAACTGCATTCCTAAGCCCTGTCAGGCATTTTATGGCCAACACGAAAGCTAAACTTTTGCCGAGGGAGTCGTAACCCCACACGGGACTCAGTTTGCCCTTGTCCCTTGCTTTGGTTCTCTTGGTTTTCACTTGGTTTTTCCCTGGGTTTTCCCGGTTTTCCCCCTAAAATCTCCCTCTCGCTTCGCTCCGCTCGTAAAATTTTATGCGTTTTTTGCGCCCTACGCTCGGCGTTGAAAATGAAAATTGTTACTCCTCAACAAGCCAGCTCCCGACTACGGATACGGCTCTAA